GAGCTCAATCACACAGAGCCACTGTGTACTCAGCGAGCCGTGTGCTACCTCTAGTACCGTCCTTGGCCGACTTATGGTCCTTTCGAAGCCCATCGCGAGGCCTCGACGCTCCCTGTGATGTGCTTTTTTTTTCAGGCTTCCGTAGGGCCGAAATCAAATGGGGCCGGCGGTGGCATAAAAAGTTGAACGCCTAGTGTAAAAGGTGATGGGTCGACAAGGACGAGCCTTCTACGGTGGTGGACTTGTTGTGATACTCGCCAACAAGACCGAGAAGAAGAAGAGAAAATATATACAAGAAAATAACATAGCATAAATAAAGACCCAGGCAAGAGACACACGTGAGAACGGGGCGAACTGTTGGACATGCAAGGCGCATGTCCCCCGTTTCATGTCCAATAAAACTAGAAATCAGGGTCCCTGGCAAAAGCCATCCTCTGGAGACAGCTGTTCAACGAGTGCCGTTACGTGGGGGACTGTTTGCCAGCGAGCCTGTGGAGACACAGCTCCGTACAAATGTCGTCAGTTGATGGCGCGTTAGTAATTAGACCCTGCGGCCAGGCGGACCGAGCTTTCAGTCCAGCATCATATCCCGGGTTTCTTATTTCGACTTTCGTTTTCCTCCGCCTGGTGCTTGACTTGACTACAAAAATAACAGTCCGTCCACAGGATGGGCAGGCCTGCAAAACGAGACCCAGAAAACACGAGTCAAGGCACTACCAGGCCAATACAGAGCCAATGGGTGGTCGATGGTCGTGTTGCAGCATGCGTAGGGTTGCAATGAACCGTGCAGAAAGACGCGCAAGGACGACCGGTTCGTCGCCATCTGCAGTGGGAGGCAGAGGGTAGGAACGGCAGAAGAAAAGAGTAAACAGAGAAAAGCTCGGGCCTGCCAGTACGACAACGGCAAGTTTTGTTTTCACGCAGGCCGACGGTCAAGAGTCACGAACAAGAGGGGAGAGGACATGAGAACACGTTTGTGGCCGGCACAGAGCCTCTATTTTTCCGGGTAGCAGTGGATGGCGTGGACGCGTCTACGATTTAAGTTCTTAGGTGACCTTCACAAGACCAGCAAAGCGGTTATATCTCTAGGAACTGGTCCTATAAAGGGATGGGAGAACCAGAAGCGGGCGAGGTGTCCGGACTCGAGCAGTCGATCGTCGGCTCCGTGAAATGGCTTGTTCGCTCACGGAGAATTCTTTTCTTTGGTTTTCATTTACGGTGTTCAAAAAAAGGGCGGATATGTGAGCCCGGTATAGCATTCCTCGGCCAAGGGCTCAGCAGAAAGCGGAAGGTTGGCTTATTAGAAACATCGCAAAACAGTGAGGTCGCCGAAAGGCATAATCGCCGTTATTCGACTCACCAATACGTTAGGCCCTACCGGAGCCTGCCAGAACCGCAGATTTGTATCGTTCGGTGACTTTGATTCTTCCGAGACACAGTAGTCGCAGACGGCGAAGGGGGGCAGTTACTATCGAACCAGCCTTTGGTAGTTGTTAATTAGGATGTGTTTGAGTGCTCGGCCCCATTCTTCATATTAAGAAAAGAACAAGGTTGGGAGGGAGGGAGGGGAATTGAGGAGGACAAATTCAGAAAACCCGGAATCAGGGTAGCATTGAACCGTCTTCTGCGACCAGACAAGATGTGAAGGGCGGGAGCAGTGACAAAAAGAAGGGAAGAACGTAGCCTGCCAAAATACCCTGTTCACTCACGGTTGTTTTGGTCGTGTGCCGTGTCGAACCAAGCTGATCGCTCCGTCCCCGACCAGTTAGTGCATGGAAATTGACATGGTTCAGGCCCAATGGCCTATCAAGATCGCGAGTAAAAACTCAGTCAGCAAACGAGGGTAAATACTGGATGTGGACGTATACGCACAATAGCCAGCCAGGCTATGGCCTCACATTATCTCTAGCTCCGAGACGAAATTCTGTCAAAGGTGAAGCAGCCAGGCCTTGCCGGGCTGCTTTTCCGTCTATTCAGTCTTTCTCGACCAGGATCCCCTTTCTATCCTCTTTTTGCCCTTGCTTTATCGGTGTCTCTTGGCTTATGATGTCGGCGTGGCCGTCCAGTTGTGCCGCCTCCATTTTTGTCTGGACGGCAGAAACTGCCGTGGACAATGCCGCCGTAGATGGCAAGCAGGTAAAGAACGTGTTCGAACCATCGAAATAGTCGACGCACAGTCACTAAGGCGCACTGAATCCTTCGTCGACCGTCCTTGTCAAATGTTGGTTGTTTCTACGACATAGTTTAGAGAATACTTGCTCACCTCAAACCCAAATCATATGCGTCTTGACATGGTCAATCCACGTTTCCCTGTCTTTCCGCCTAACTATTTGTTTTGTAGAAAAACAAAAGCGTCGCGACATGGTGTGTTGAATTAAAGTTCTCCATTGTCTTGGCATGTGGTGAATGCAACACTCACGCAGTCTTCGGTGGATTGTAGAATTTGTATCCTATATTAAAACAAAAGTTAGAGGAGGTCTGTGTGCTCTATGGAGAGATCTGGAAAGACAAAGAGAAGAGGAAGCTACGGGAAAATAAAATACAACAAAGGTCATGTGAGTCTTGGAAATAGTTGTGAGCCTTGTCTCTATGCACCACAAGACAAAATAGACAAGACATAGAAGTTGTGGGCATGCTGCGCAGCGTCGAAGCACAAAGGCAAACAGGAGAAATTAGAGGGGGCAAGCACAAAAATTATCCAAACGCACAGGCACCGCCAGTAAACCAAGGGCAATCAAAACGGGTCGAGCGCCATTGCGGTCACGCAAGATGGACAACCCTGCAGTGGTCCGGTTTGAGATGTTGAGGAGTTGCAGCGAGAGGGGAACGTACAACCTAAAATAAAAGTGCACAGTGATGAATGGCGAGAAAAATGCGCCGTAAGCTTCTAGCCCTGGTACAATCCGTCCGAGCGCTGCACATGTTGGTGTCGTAGACGGTGGAGGAGGCACGAGAAAAAAATAACAAGGAGAAATCTCAGAGTTGGTCAGAAAACATATTCGGCCTCCCTGCTTGTTCGGCGGCTTTTCATGTTCTCTTCAGCCTCTTTTCCTTCTCTTCGTCTGTGGCAGGCCTTGACTCGGCACGGAACGAAGACGTGACAGAGAATGGATCACAGAAGTCAAGCAATGGAAAAATTTGGCAGCCAAAACGGCGTCGGAAAGCCAAACGACCTGACTTCCAGGCCGTTTCCCGCTTTTCCATGCCGCTTTCTTGTCGTTCTGCTTCTCTTCCCTCTTACCTCTCCGTTCCTATTCTCCCGCGGCTTCTTTTGTTCGTCTCGTCTCCCCAGGATTTTCGTGGGGCCGATTGATGTGCTCGTCAGAATTGCACATCATCCTACTCAACAAAGCCGGACGGGACAGTGCCAGTGCGGGACGGGCGAGTGAAAATAGCCCGTTCATGGAAGGTCAGGCCGGTCTGGAGCAAGGTTTGCCTTGTATGGAGTAAAACGGGATGATGAACAGCAGGACAACAAAAGCCAGATCAGCCCTGCCGCCACCTGCGGTACGGCTATTACTTACGGTATGACGACAGCTCGCGAAGCAAAACATGCTTCCGGCCGGGGAGGGAACGAAAAGGGAGAAAGCCTAGGGCGCAGAGTGAGATAAGAAAATGTTTGTAAAGGAAAGGCTTGAATCGTTCGTTTTGGCATCTCGTCAACCATCTTGGTCCAGTTTTTGCTCTGTTGTGCACCGCTTTCGTTGTGGTTAACTTCCCTTTCGAGTAAAGGCGACGTGAATCCGTCCAATGGGCGCCCATAGTGACCACTTACACTTGTTTTTTGTTTTTGTTCTTTGTTGGAGTAGTTCGGACATGGATGGCAGACGTTGCTAAATAGACCGTAACTTTGACGGTGAGGATTGTTTTCTCCGCTTCTCTTTCCCCCCTCGAATTCCAGTTGCCCTTCCCTTTCAAACTCCCATCGCGACTTCCATTTCAAAACCCGCCACATCCCCCAGCCCCTGTAGAAACCGCCCCCCTTCCTTTCCAACACAAGTGCCCGTCCGAATCGTTCCTTCCTTCTATTCAACTTCCATGCTCGGCGATCATTCGGTAGTGGGCTGCTCTTTCTCTGTCTCCGGCTCCTGACGGATGCCTACGCGCCTTCCGTTCGTCGTCGGCTTGCCGTATGTTGCCGTGCCGCGGACCTGCTCAGGGATCATAGTAAAATTCCAACCAGTGGCTTGTCTTGGCTGGTCTGTCATTTTCACCTTCAGATGTTGTTTAACGCATTGCGGACTTTCTGGCAAGCGATGGCGTAAGTAGAGTTTGCCCGTACCCCAAAGTCGGTCTTTTTGGTTCTCCTGGGGTCGCTTTCCGCCCATGCGTCTTCTCCGCCTATGCGGTTGTTTTTGACCTTCCGTGCTCCTTCCCTCTACCGTCTCTTGATCGTCTCTCGCTGCGTTCCTTCTTCAAGTCGTTCTTTCCACTTTTATGGTTCGCCTGTTCACTCGTTCCTTCTCCAAGTCTGCTTTTTACCACACGCCTATTACCCTTTGGTCTCATCCTCGCCCACTTGGAGCACGCTGTCTGCTGTCGCAAGACCTAATCCGCCCTGCTCCTACTCTTTTTGTCGCTTTCCCTTAATGTTTTTGCATCCCACTGCGTATCTGTGTCTTCTTCAAACTCGATTTTGTGATTGCCTCGCTCCTTCTTCTTAGTATCAAAAAATACATCCAGTGCTAAACAATCCCTATCTCGCAAGACTCGGTGTACGTCGTTGGTTGCTCTTTCCTAAGGGCAGTCTTCCACGGCCGTTGTACAACCAAAGTCCCAACCGTGCTCCTTCCCTTCTCCCTCCTTCTCCACGCCCCTGCGTTTACATCACTTTGTACGGCGCAGGTCTCCTCCCTCCTCACACCCCCTTCCTTCTTTCCGCCTTGCACTTCGCACCTTCCACCTAATTAGCCCGCCCGCAAACAGACAACAGACCCTCCGTAGCGTATCATACCATCAACCCGCTAACTCAGACGGCTTGCTTTGTCCTCGTTTTGGCCTCATCTTCCGTCAACCGTCAAGACCCTCAGGTACATTCGCCTCCTTCGCAGACACCACTGTGACCGCCGTCGACGCTCAACCAGCACATCCCTCTCCAACATCCTCCACACTTCTCTAACCACTAACCAAAACACAGCATCCGCTGGCACCTCTCGGGCCCTCCTAACCTTACAGGCTGTGTCTCGTCTTCCTTTTGCCTTTTCATACCGCTTTCTCCCTCTCCGTTCAGCGCGTCTGTTCCTCCCCTTGTCCTGGTGCTTGGCATAGACGTCTGGCCACCCGGTTCCTTCATCCTGCTTAAGGAACAGCGCGTTTCCGCACTTTGTGTCTTTCGATCCGTCCACCAACCGGTATCTGGACTTCTCAGCCTCAGCCTTTGCCAATCGACTTCTTACGCTCTGTCCTATCCACCGCTCTCCACGGTCTACCCGCTCTCCGTGCTGGCCCATGTCTTTTTCTTTGATTTACGAAGATGAGGAGACGGCAGCAGCGCTGCACAATCGCCAGTGCACCCCCATCCTGCAGAAACATTTGTCACCATGGAGAGCATATTTCATTCTCGAGCATCTGGCTCATCTATCACGCTACCTCTTCGAGTCTTCTACCATCAAACCATCTTCCAGCTCTTCCTGTCTCTGTCGTCAAGACACCTTACTCGCCTTGTCTTTCTAGACTGCATCTTGCAGGAAAGCCAGGAAGGATGCCCAAGAGCTACCAGCCAAGTATCGGACAGCGGCTTTTACAGCAATATAACTGCCATTTCCGTCTTGGTGTGTTTCTGCCTTTGTTTTAATATTTTCTGAATCGTTTTGTTCCTCTCTCTTCTCTCTCCCCATTCTTGCCCCCTTCCCTTCTTCTGATGCTGGCAAAATCGCCTCTTACTTATACCGGCTCTTGGTAAATATTCATACAAACACACACACCCCTCCCCAGGACACACCCGTGGCGGCCTTCTTTGCCCACCCTCCCTATAGCAACACCCAAAACACACCCCTCCCCTCCTCTTCACCCCTTACCTGTCGTCTACCTTGGCACCCTTTGATTCTTTTGCTTATATGCCGGTTGTACACTGCGAGGCAGATGATCTAAAACGCTACTGTCGTCAACACATCTGGCTTTCATAGATATATCTCTGCCTCGTCCGCTTCGTCTTTCGAGAAGAGCACGCAAACAAGCCAGTCCTTCTTTCTCTCGTTTCTCCTCACCTCTGGCCAAAATCTTTACCCTTAGTCTTTCATTTATCCTTACCCAAGTACCTCTTTACCACTCTCGACAATTACTATCACGACACATCCACGCTCATCATCCCTTTTGCTTCTTCTATCCCTCTATCGACAAAACTCAAAGAAGCGGGAAAACGACAAGGAAAAGTTCATCTTCACCTTGACACCAAATTTCATTCTCAACACGAGTCGTTTCTGCTGTGCAACCGTCGCTTCCAGCCGAGAATTATCACCAACTAGAATCCTGCATACCTCGCATGTCAAATCACACAGCACGGCGATTCCTAAAAACGAGCAAACTACCAGCCCAAGTACCGTTGGCTTTGTGTCGCCTGACACTGTGTTCCCAAAGGTGTCCCCCCTCTGTGGCCTAGTTGCGAGTTTCTCTCTCTCTTGTCACTCTACCAATCACTGGTGTACACAAACGAGTGAGTAGCATCGCCCCTCAGATACCTTGAAAGCACAAAAGAAATATAGCCTGTCAACCCGGTTCGGCTCCCTGCAGCGACACGAAATACTGAGTTGTCTTCCCTAGGCGAGCCGGTACATCCCAAGACGAGCAGAAAAAGCACAAAATCACCAGAGCGGAATAGAACAGGTCGACAAAACCGGCAAATCGACCATCCTACGACTGTACTGTTTGAACCTCGCATCTCGCTTTCTTGATTGCAGCGTCAACCGCTCCGACCATCATCTCTACGTCACCCATGTCTACTGCCGTTGAATACGCTCCACACAGCTTTGGCCACCCCATGGGTGACACTATGGCGAGACCTCACCATGGATGGAGCCATGATCCCTATGCTCTTCGTCAGGGCAGCGATCACAGGGCTTTCATTACGCAGGACGCCGGTCGAGAGCGTGTGCAGCTCCCCGGACCTTCCAGTCTCTTCTCCGCCGCTGCTGCTGCCGCTGCCGCTACTTCCTCGCCCGCATCCATGTCATCACCGCATATGAGTAGCCATCAGCCGCCTCTGCATTCGTCTGCTGGACGTGACTCTCCCCCGTATTCCTCGTCGGGTCGCCCCCCGTCCTATTATGGTGGTGACTACGCAACGCCGTCTCCCGTGGGCCAGACACCACCCCAACTCCCCGCACCCAATGTGGATGCCCATGGTCTTCCGGGACCACTTGCTCTCCGTACGACCATTCGCGGCCCGGATTCCCGTTTCTCGCCGACACAGTCTCCCGCGTCCAGCGTCCGTTCGGACGACTTTGACTTGGGTCCCCGGTACCAGCAGCAGGCGCTCTCCCATCTCCCTACCACGCCTCGCTATCGCAGCCGGGATCCACCTTCATACCATCACCAGCCGCCAGCACCCACCTCCTCGCCTCCAAATGTCGGCGTGCATTATTCAAAGGCGGTGGTAGCAGCAGCGACAGCGTATCCAACGCCGAATAGCCGCTCCATTTATCCTCCCATGCACCCGACAAGTCCAACATCAGGACCAGGCCGCCTTCCTGCAGCATCCACCTCGCCACGGTCCGAGGCCAAGCAAATTTCCATAACCAGCCTGCTGAGCGAGGAGTCCGCAGCCAAAGCTGCAGTACCACGGCCACCGCAGACGCCATACCACCATCCGGCAAGCAATGACAGCACGGCGTCCAAGACGCCAATGCTGAGCCCGGCCCAGTCGGTCGTCAACTCGGAGTACCGCATCAATGTTCGGCAGCAGCCAATAGCAGCACGATCATGCGGGTTTGGCGAACGTGATCGTCGTGTCATCGATCCGCCTCCCATTGTGCAGCTCACCATTGACGACCCGGATGCAACACCAGAAGAGATCAGTATGCGCCTTCGCTTCCAGTTTACGGTGCTGCACTGCTCCATCTGGAATGAGACGGGAGAGCAGGACAACTCAGCCATGCCAGAAGACTACCGCCAACAGCGCCGACTCATGGGCACGTTGGTCTCATCGCCTTTTGTGGGCCAGGATGAAAATGGCGAGGAGGGCTGTTTTTTCTGCTTCCCGGACCTGTCCTGCCGCACACCAGGCTCATTCCGCCTTAAGTTTGCGCTTGTGGTCCTAGATCCCCTGGGTATGCGTGCTGGCGGCTCATCGCCTATCATGGCCACGGCTATGAGCGATGTCTTCACCGTCTATAATGCCAAGGACTTCCCTGGAATGCAAGCCAGCACGGCCCTGACCAAGCGTCTCAAGGAGCAAGGTTGCCTTATATCGATCAAGAAGGGCAACGACAAGACCAGCGCTGCCCATGGTCGCGAGGAAAGCGAAGAAGACGACGAGGCCGGCGATGGCGCGACTGCAGGCAAAGGCCGGAAGCGTGCGAAGAGATCGTAAGGGCCAACCCTCTGGACTTTGATTTGTTTTAATCTCCTCTTTCTTCAACCGGTCATACCCCTTCAAGAGTACATTTTTTGGGTTATATTTTGGTATTTTTATATTATTTTTTTCTGGTCTTGCCTCTTATTTATTCCCCTTCCTACGAGCAGCCCAGGACATCAACAGAACTGGGTGGCGCATTCGTCCGGTCACTTTAATCCTTTGGGGTGGCCATGGAATCATGACATGGAAATGATATTTGTTTTTTGGTCACTATTTCTTTTGGTGTTTGATTCATAGCGGAGTTTGTCTGGGCCGGATTATTCGGACGACCAAGGAGGCCAGACAAAAGGCTTCCGTGAAAAGGAATTTGCTTTTGCGTATCAATTTAGACACTGCCTATCTACATATTTATTATCATGCGTTCTCCATGTCTTCCAGTGGTATCGAATGCCTTTATTTGGCTTGCGTTTATACGTCGCATCGTCATATACTACAGCCGTCAGTCGGTCTGTTCCGATTCAGTCGCTGCATAGGCCTCTGCTAGCCGCCGCCATTCATCTGCCATTTGGAAATGAAAGGCTGCCTCGTCCTTTGCCATGCCCGAATCATTCGCCTTTGTCGCCTCACGCTCGACCAGCTCCTTGATTGCACCGAATTCGCCAGCAACTGCCGCACGCTGTAAGATTGTGTCTAGCTCCGCGTCTTGCGCCTCAGTCCGATCGGCGGGATCGCGAGCATACGCGGCCGCTAGCAGCATGCACGCCTTGCCGCTGTTGAGAGCCAGCGCGGCCGTGCGTAATGCTTCACGGGCCTCTTGGGCCGTCACCACGTCGGCCTCATCCATCTGCAGCCGACCAATGGCCTCGAGACACTTGCGCTCCCAGTCCCACTTTGGATCCCGGGGCAGGACGTCTCCATTGCCCGCTGGAACAGACGAGCCAGAGCCAACATCAGAGCCACTACCAATGCCGTGTCCGACCAACCGCGCTGCCTGGAACCACCGCAGCGCCCGTGGCAGATTACCCGACGCCTCTGCCAGCAGGCCAGACAGCGTGAACGCGTTGGCCTTGGTGACGAGGTCTAGGCTGTCGTCGCCCGCATTGGCCTTGGCCAGGTACGCCAGAAATTTTTCCTCCGCGGACTGGAAAATGTGCGAACCGCGAAATCGCGCGGCGAGGGCGACCTGCGCCTGGCCCGCCTTGGTCATGTCGACACCAAAAAGATTGATGATGGTTAGCACCGACGGCATGTAGCCGGTGCTGCCCAACGAAGCCGCCATGTGCATCATCGACGTCGCCAGCATAAAGCACTGCGTGGATTCCTGGACACTGGCGTTGCCAATGAGCAGGAGCACGCCGACGGTGTGCAGCTTGTACGGGGTAAGGTTATAGTCTAGCGAGTCAGCAGACGGCAATCGTCGGGCGCACGCCCAAGAAAACACGACAATATGACAAAGCCACAACGCCAAAGATATGCGAGGCACTACTCACCCCTCAAAAGAGCAGCTTCGTTGACGGCCGCCCTGTTGTGCTCGAGCCGCTGCGCATTCAGAATGACCTGGGCGCACTCGTCCTCCGTCAAATCCGTCTCCACGGAATCCAGTCCAACTTTCAGTGCCGCTATGAGACTCGTCGAATCCTTGGGGAACATACCGGAAGCACCAGCCGTGGTCGGGCCGGAGCTCGCACCACCACCAACACTCCCCCTACTGGTCCTGCTGGCGGCATTCTGTGCTCGGCGGACTGTGGGCGACCGCTTGCCCGCAGACCGTGCCGCGCCACGGCGAATCTGAAGCGGTAGTATCTGTGAGGAGAAAGCACCACCGCACGAGCATGCGGACGGCACAGTGACGCGAGACGGCGTTTGGCCCACAGCCCTGCCACCAGCTCCGATTCCAATGGCAGCAGACGCGGTACCGACGACTTGGCTATAGCATCGCACTGCTGAACGGCTTGACAGGTGCATTGTGGTCGCCGATCGAGCTATTGGATTCATGGCGATGCTGTGGCTCTTGCTGCAGAAACGGCTTCGACTGAGCGTCGTTCAGTGAAGTCGAAACAATAAAGGGCGCTGAAGCTTGAAATGGAGCAAGTGGGAGGCGCTGGACCAATGGAATCCCTAGGCAAAAGATAAAAGTGGGCCACTTAGTACGGGGTCATCTTTGTCGGCGAAAACAATGTAGCTGCAGCCTGACTTTAACTGACTCTGTATAACGTCCTATGCTCAATTGCGTACTGTTAGATAATGAAGATGAGAAATGACAAGATTATGAGAGTATTGACAGCTGTCCCTGAACTGAGTGTAGGGAGTAATTCCGTTTTAGTGGGGCTACTGCTGAAACCAGCCAATCACAGGCTCAGGCGTCAAGCTCAGCCAACAGGTCGTTCTTGGGCCTATTGCGATAAGGCTGCCCAAAAAAATCTTATCGGAATGAAAAGGCAGAATGCAACTTTTTTTTGCTGCTAGCCGACTCTACATCACCACTTTAACGGCCCAGCATCTATCTCTGCGAACTATTCTTACAATACAGCAGCCGAGCCATAGCATTTTTACGATTTACGATTTACGGGTTTATACATTGACGAGGCTCCGATTGTCCATCGGCAATTGACACGAGACAAAACAAAGCCAACCGCATCCTCGCAAATGCCGTCTGCACAGAGCTCCCCGATGACGCGGAGCGCCGCGGCCAAACTGCGGGCCAAGCGCAAGAGCGGAGGCGGCGAGGACGACGCTACCCTCGGCAGTGATGCGCCCATGACCGATGCCGCGCCGATGCAGGAGGACGAGTCGCCCGCGACGAAGCGCCGGAAGCTGCCGGTGCGGTTTAAAGAGGGCAAAGCGGCGACGGAGGAAAAGAAAGAGAAGATAGCAGAGGACGAAGAGGATGTCGACGAAGAAGAAGAAGACGCTGCGGACAGCGACGACGAGGCTCCCGAGGCCATTTCGACGGTGCAGGCCGCCGCCGCAACCCGCCACTCGGCCCAGAAAGCGTCGAAAGCAGCAGACAAGTATGCCAACGAAAACTTGTTATTTTGCCGTTGCTTTTTTTTATGGTACGATTTTTTTTTCGCTAACTCAATACCCTACAGACGCGCCGCCGACGAGAAACGCAAGCGCCAGGAAAAAGACGCCCGCCTCAAGGCGCAGGCCGGGGCACGCAAGGCACGAGAAGAAGCCGCGGCCGAGGCCGCCGCAGCAGTAGCAGCAGAAAAAGAAGAAGAAGCAGCAGCAGCAGAGGCTCAGAGGGCAGAGGAGGCACAGCAGCCACGAAAGTCGGTGTCCAAGCTGCTGCCACTGGAGTTTTTGGATTCCGACAGCGAGGGCGAGGACGAGGTCCAAGACAAGGCCACGACGAAAACGACCACGTCAACATCCACGGGCACTCCTGCCAAAGCACTGTCCAAGGGCCTCCAGGCCACGCGCCCACGCAAGCCCAAGGCACACCCCCGCGACCGCCAGCTGGGCACGACCGTGTACCGGCTGCTGGCCGAGACCGGTCCCAAGACGCTGGCACCCAAGATGGGCAAAGCGGCACGCAACATGAAGCAGAGCCTGCAGGTACGGCACCGGGTCGGCAAGCCAGTTAACGCCGGTTTCCTGCGGCGGTGAGGCCACTGAGATCAGCGTGGCGAGTACGGTGGCGCATGGTGTGGTGGAAACGTTTTGGTTATGTTCCATATTATATCTGACAGGCAGCGACATTGTGCATTTAGACCAACTTGAATTTTACACGGATCAAATGATGAATTGTACTTTTGCGTGATTGATCGTCTCAAGCGACCGTTTTACTATCCTATCACCGGAGTGCAGACTGTATCGTCATGTAATATACATTTACATATATATATACAAGAATGTCCAAGAAGTATAAACCATTTCCTGTCAACTAGCCAAAAGACCAGTGAGCCAAATGCTGAATCGTCTGTTTTTTATTGTACACGCCCATTCCAATAGGAAAACCAACCGTCGATTAAAATAAGGTGGGAAGTTGGAGAAGAAAAAAGGGCAAAAGAGGCAAAGAAAAGCGTGGGTATCGTAACTAAGCGCCGTGTGTGCTGTGTGGTGCATATCAAAAAAGCGGTCCTGAAATCCTTTGTCCGCGCCGCCAGCGGACAAATCCCAATGCAGTAATGAAAGACAAAAGAAAAGACAAAGGTAAAAAAAAAATATGTACCAGAAAAGGAAAAAAGTAAATTACAGTCCAGCTCCTGCGTTACCGTAAACGATCGTGTAAATGACGTATGAAATAAAAGAGAGCGTCTCCTCGGAAGAAAGTCGACTCATATCAGGTATGCGACAACGCTGAATAATAGAGCGGGTGCCAGCCAGTGCAATGACGGCCCCTTCGCCAAAGACGCGGTGTTGGACACAATGGCTGCTGGTAACGTGTCGTTGACAAACGCCGGCCCGCAGATTGTGTCGACCTGCTGTGCGGCCGACAGATACGTACTGGCAATGGGCTTTTTGCGGTCGGCAGCCGCTGACCGATACACAGCCATGGTCTGCTTGAGACACCAGTTGCAGGACGGTTCGGAGCCGCTTGTCGGCAGCGAGCTGTTGAGCGGCAGGTAGTAAAAGTACACGTTGGCCGTGGTGGTCAAGTTGGTGATGGCATTGGCGAAGCAGTAGGCTCCTGTGTCCGGATCGGTCAGACAAGACGCCGCGTACAGCGGCTGGTACCCGATCATGCCGTCGTATGCCTGAACTACAATGGAGTTGCCCAGCTTATAGTCTGCGCCGCAGTTGGCGGCGTCGGTGAGGTTGGTTGCGAGGCGGTTGAGGTAGGAGGTGCAGAACGTGGCGTTGGCCGCACACGTCGCGTCCAGGACCTGCGTGATGGACACAAGTGACTTTTCGGCTTGGAAAAATGACCGCGAACCCTTTGTTTGTGGTTTGTCGGTGAGTAAATGGACGTGTGAGAGAAGAGGTGGAAACATGTCAAATGGGGTTGCTTACCTGGAGAAGAAGAGAGAATGGGTAGCATTGCTTGAATGTGGGGTTCGTGAGAAAGGAGTTGATAAATGCTGGGCACGCCGAGTCGTTTGAGAAGTTGGATGCAAGGCTGCTATCGAAGAAGCTCGGGAGCGGCGAGGATGATGCCGTCCTAGTTGTCTTTGTGGTCGGCGTCACGGCGGTGGCGTCGCCCTTTGTTTCGCCCGCCGTCCCAGGAGCGGTGGTCACGGCTGTGCCAATGTCGTTCCGTTTCCGCAGCTCAACCATCTCGTCCTGTGATAAAAACATCCATTGGCCGTTCACTTTCACCGGCATACGGTCATCTCGAAGGAGTGTCTCGGCAGCGAGTGCGGCAGGGACGGTGGTGGTCGACTTTGGGAATACGAGAACAGAGTCCGCGATCATGCGGTCTGGTTCTGCTACCGCAGCAGCGACGGCGGAAATGAAAATTGTGTTTATGGCGAGAAAAAGAAAGGCTGTTGTTGTGCACCGCCAGGAAAGTATCCGGGGTTTGTGGTGTTGTGATACAGAAGTCATGGTGTGCAGAGCGATCGACATTCGCAACGTTTGTGTAGCGGCGGGAGGCGCCGTCGATCCCCAAAGACTTTGCGGAAGCTGCAGAATTAGACGGCCGGGGGTAGATGGTGCATCACTCGGTTTCGACAAAGCACAGCCAGAGGCGATGAGATGCAAAATCAAGTTGCGAAAAACTTGATTGGATCTGTATTTTTGTTGTGTCTGTCGGCGTCGAAGAATCGCTTCGCTGCGTCTTGCCAGCAAACTCGATTCAGTCCGTTGAAGCGAATCGAGCAAGCGCCAGGGTCGATCACCTTCTGCGTCTGTGATTGTGTCGGCGGCAACAAAACGCCGGGGAACCAAAGCAAAAGACGAGCTTAAGGATCGCAAGAAATCTGTTGTCGCCTTTTCTGAGCTGTCTGTTTTCGTGCTTTGTTGTGATCAAGGTAACGTTTCTTCGTTGGTCTGTTTGGTCGTGTGTTCGTTTTGTTTCGATGGACGCGAGGCCAAGCCCTTTTGTTTCTTATACCCGACTGTCTTATTATGAGCTGAATATAGCAAAGATGGAAAGCGAGAGTAAAAAAGGTCGGTCGGATTCCGGTTTATTCTTGTTGACGTGGATCGATTTTGTCGATTTGCTTGCGATGGGTGGTGGAGTGAAAGTGTCAATCTGGGTAAATGGGCGAAGATTGATTTAAATGATAATGCCGCGGCAGGCTTGCAAGGCAGGGCACCAAAGGGAAGAAGCGATAAAAACGAGAGGAAAAAAGCACGGTTCACCAAAACGTCAAGGGACTGTGTGCATGGGGGGGACTTGTAGGGCAGCAGACAAGGGATCAGACGACGGGTTGACAGAAGCCACACTCTGGGAGGAGCAAGGAGGAGGGCAGACGCGCATTTGTAGGATCTGTGGTCAAGGGAAACCGGCCAGCGAGGCCCAGAAATAGCAGAGTAATCTGAAAAGAGCGTTTGGTCCTCAGAAGAGATGTTGAAAAAGCAGGTTGACAAAGTTGGGATGGAAAACAGGATGGGTGCTCGGGGCGGATAGGACAACAAATGCGTGGGCTCGTATGGGGCGGTATTGCTCAAGATATTGGATCCAAATTCTTCATTCGGCAAGGCGGCTCATTAAACGGAATAAAAATGGAAATGGAGATGTGAGAGGAAAGTCGAACGAAGAATGAAGAACGGCACAGAAAACACGACTGCTGTCCGCGGGGACCTGGCAAAAAGGGACCAAGCCCGAAAATGCCAGAAAAGTATTGGCGGGCAGAAGAGCAACAGACCCTTCGTCAACAAAAGAAAAATACTCGCCCATGCAAAAACGCTGTTAACGGAAGTACTGTCGTACTCAGTCCTCTTGGAACCAATAGGTGGGACCTTTGGCCAGGGGCAGAACTGCAACCATTGAAGTTTTGGAGCGTTCTGGATGGTGACGGCGGACGAAAAAGGTAAAGTTGGGGTGAGCGAGGTGCCAATACGATGGTGGAGGATGACCAGGGTGCGTTCGCGCAGGTGCACAGTAACGGCTTGGCGGCACCGTACGTCGTACCCGTGTATTTGAGCCCAGGATGGAAGTGGTACCTGAGCAGGGGTTCATTGCAGTGTGGCTCGAAAAGGGGCCAGACCACTGCTGCATAACTTGTCATCAACTGGAGATGAGCATCTTGGGCCAGCAGCGCGTACGGAGTATTAGTCCGTACAGAATCTGTGAGTCGAGGCTGTGAGAGGTGTAAGTGATTGGTGGTACTTGGACAACGGGAAGAAATAAAACAGAAAGAAGACCAACACGTCAAAGAACGCTGGAATCACATCTCATTCCCGTCCACCTCAGCGGCCGTCGCCCCCAGTTCTAGCCCCGGGCGCAACACATTTTTCAGACCGTTGTAGTTAGCGTCTTTCATGGCACATTTTGGGCACGTATCCTCCCTAGACTCCGTTGTCGTAAATAGAAATCGGGCTTGGCCTGGCCAGGTGGCATGTGGAGGAGCATGGGGTGCCAGTTTAGAAATCAAATGCAGATGGAAGTCTCCGTGACATCGTTGCAGAGTGAGTGTTGGTGATGTCGAAAAATCAATACGACGTGCTGCTGTTGTGATTCCCGTTTTTCTGGGCCGGCCTTTGCTGCGCCTTTCTCCGTGTTCCATTTCTTCTTTCTCTTGTCGCTGATTGTGTCGTCCTGCGTCTTGCTTCTGTTTTCGTCGCAGCTTTCTCAGCATCGTTTTTCTTCTGGCAAATTGTCGCCCAGCTCTCCATGGTAAGATACGGAGTATGTTGTATTTCCAAGGCATATTGGATGGAACACCACGGGATGAGCCTGGATTATTGGCAGTCTTGGCCCTGGTCTGGCCAGGCTTGGCCGCTCACTCGATGACCAGCGTAGCTGGGAGGTTGGTGCAGTACGCGTATATACAGTGCTCGGTGGGCCTTCTTCTCTTCCCGTCCGTCCGCATCACATTCGTCTTTTCTGTGGCGCAATCGGGGACAGTTGGTGATAAGGCAAAGCCTGCTGGTGGGCCAACTTGGGTTACTCATTCGCACACAGAGCCACATTCCGATGGCCTTGAATGAGCAAAGGCCATTAAAATCATGGACAAACTATTGACAAATCCAACCCCATGTCTAGTCAGTGAGGGCCATATTTGTCTCCAAGTTTTGCATCTGCACGCCGTAGGGCAGACACCTATTTTGCACGTCATTCTGTGAAAGTACCGTGCATATTTTATTTTGACAAAAAAAAAAATACGCTCTCCAACTCACAAATTATGTGATACAAAGCTGCTCGCTATCGCTGGCGCACATACTTGCTCTCAGCGTTTGCTGCCGGACAAAAGAGCCGTCGCCAGAGTCAAAGGCGGGAGGTGGGCTGAGGCTCTGGAAGTGTCCCTCTCAACTCTTCTCACGCCAGCGAAGAGAGAAAGGATCGGCGCTGGAAACGTGGGTGGTAGGCATGTCTGTGCCTGTATTACTTCGTAGAGTGCAGCGGGCAAGCTTGGCTGTCCCTACCCGTTGTGACTGCTCCCGACCGTTCCTGGCCGTTCCTGAGCCAGGGGCAAACGTCGTACGACGTAACCATACAAGAGAGCCCAGAGCAAATAGGGCCACGCACGCATTCTGGAGTATTTTTCTGGAGCGCGGTCGAGCATCAGATTGGCTTCCCAAAATGGATGATTGGAGAAATTGGATCCTCCACTTTCGGATGCGCGAAGCGGATACGCAGGTACGCTTTGCGCTAAGCTGACCTGCGGGTGGGTAGAGTAAAGACGATGCAAAAGAATTGACGACTGTGGTGTGACCGTTCGGGACCGCTGGTCATCGTCACCGACTCTGGAGATGTTGAAGCAACGGGAGGAAATGAAAAGTACGTAGTTTGCTTCTTCCCTCCGTTGCAATTTTTGTTTGTTTGCCTTTCGACTGCTTGAGACGCGTTCCTTCCATCTCAATCGTAGGTCTCGCAATCCCAAAGGGAAGGCGTGAGTGAGTAGCGCATGCAGAAGGTGCAAATGCTACTGTACATAGTATGTCGTACTGCTCTTTCTCTCTATTTGGCAGGCACGTTGTGTGAGGAAAGGAGCTGGAACACAGATGTGGACAACGTAGTGTTCGGATGAAAGACTCCACACGCACCTTCCACGAAAGCGGGCCATATTAAATAAAAAATCGAGCCAATGGGCGCGTACCCAACGAAGGAACGATGTTGAATATGAACAGAAAAAAACCACAAAAACAAAAATAGAAAAGTGGTATTGCATTGTGAGATAGAGAGATAAAAACACAGAACAAGCATGCCGGCGTTCGATATATTTGATAATAATATCTAATGGGGAAAGTATCTTTTTGGCAATGTTTTTTACATTAGTTTTCAAGAGCCCCGAATTTGTGATTCTCTTTTCTTATAAAACAAAATAAAAAATGAAATAAAATAAAAAGTTCATAGATAATTAAATGGTTCGAACAGCACAACAACCGAATAAGGATAAGAAAGAAAGCAATGTAAAATATACAAAAAGCACTACGCCGAATGCGGTGCTGTTATTGGGTCAACCATCCATCATCTCACAAGTTTTCAATAGTGACATCTTGGCTCCGAATTACGGTATGTGGCATTTGTTATATTGATTTGCCAAGGATCTGCTGGCCCTCTCAGAACTTCGAACGGGTCACTATATGACAACAGGGTACATCTAGCGACATCAACGATACCTCTTTCCGCTTGGCCGATTAAACAACACAATAAAAGGGATATACCACCTGTTGGGTAGAATGACAACACCCATTTTCATCTCATTTAATTACCTAAAATACGAGCCCATACACAACCAACAAACGGCAACTCGTAATACGGTAAATGACTTCATATAGAGCAACACTGAACACACATGTCTCACAAACATCTACACCACGTGGCTTGGCAAGTGGTGGCGGTAGGCGCCTGCATGTCCACGAGTGGCTTAGAAGAGGGGAGGAGAGAAGAAGATACAATGGAAAGGGGGCTTCAAAATGGCTGCAGGCGTGTACTCCCACAGCATCCGGCCTGTGTAATCTCACCGTGGTGGACGGAAGACAGGCGTGTAACGTTTTCTTGAAGAAATTATGCGGAAATGATGACTGAATTTATGCCGGCCGAGAATTTGATGGGTTGGCTTGTTTTCTGTCCCAACCTGACACTCTGTAAATCTTATGCAAACTCGCTTCGGTCGGTCCACGGCAATTGCAAACTGGCGCTGCTCGCCGCCCACTGCTCTATGTTGGCAAAGAACGATGTCTCGTATGCTGACATTCTGCCCTCGTTTTTGCCGTCACCACCATCACTGTATCCCACCAAAGCGACCTTATCCAATCGCGCGCCGGCGGATGTCATAGCCCACAGGCTCAGCGCGAGCGTATTGTTGCCATGCATATTCAAGATGCCCGGTGGCACAGGGAAGCGCGTCTGGGGGCCGATGTGCGGCACATATTTACCGTACTGGTAGCCGTTGATCCATAGCTGAACACGGGCAATCGTACCGACAGGCGCAGCGAGCTCTATGCCGAGTGGCACATCGAGATCGGTGGGAACAGAAAGCATGAACTCGGTGACATAAAACTGCACTCCAGCATCCTTGATGCCATCTGTGGGACTGCTCTTGCTAAACTTGCTATCAGCAGCCGCACTGAAACCAGGTAGGTGCCAGCCAAGGCGTTCGCCGTAGAGGCCGCCTTCGTTCATCGGACCGCGTACTGGGTCGATGTTGGCAGAGCCGCCTGCATTTCCCATTATCTTCCAGGTTGTAAAGCCAGAAGAGGCCGCAGTGGCACGGGACTTTTTGTCCTTGTCTGATTTGTCAAACAAAAGCTTCGCGCCCAGCAGGCCACGCGGATTGTTCAGCCCATTGCGTGTCGACGTCTCATCGTGGCCATGGTAATCGACCAGCACTGTAAGAACGTTGTCTCGTCCCTTCTCTATGTTGATCACATCCGTCGGCAACTTCAATAAGGCCGACGTTGTGGCCTGGCCGGCCACGCCCGGACTGCCACCAAGCAGGTGACCGTTGACCCAGGCTGTCCACCCGAACCCTTGACCACCAGAAGCTGTGATGTTGACCGCACTTGGCATCGGCCCCGTCGACAGAAAGCGTCCGCGGTATACCTTTGCTCCGACGTAGAAGCCGTAGTCAGAGGCAAAGAGAACAGGTAGCGTGACGGGTGGCACGGGACCGTGCGTTGTCGTATGATTGCAGACTGTCCATCGGCTGTCGTCGTAGTCGGGCTGCGTCTCGGGGAGAGAGTCTGCAGCATGCCACTCTGTAAGTTGTGGGAGTGTAACGTTTCCGTTGGAAACGCGATACTGCCCACCAGAGATGGCGGCTCGATAACTTCCATATGGAGTCCGTGTAGCCGGCAGTGTCTTGCCGTTCCAGTTGACGGTGTTAATTATCTTGCCACTTCCGCTACCTACAAATGCTTCTAGCGTCGTTGCAGAGTCGTTGTCGCCGAGGACATACAGCACACCGGCCGTCCAGTCAATGCGAGCCGACCGGACAAGATAGGGACCGAGGATAAACACACGGCTTGAGCCGGCCACATCAAAGCTGTTGTCACCATCACGCGGTGCCCAGAACCGCCAGGCTGTGGCTTGATCCAAAATGTAGACGAGTACATCATTGGAAAATAAGACAGCACTCGCGCCTGAACTCTGGGTGTATGTAAATGCCTGCTGTGGCGAGGAAGAGCCCCTCGGCTGTCTCGTGATGGCTGTCACCTTTAAGCTGCCAAACACAGTGTAGGTAAGGTTGCTGTCACCCCGGAAGGCAAACTCGCCCGTTTGGCCTTCTTTGAGGTATAGTACGAGCGCTGTCTCGTGCCCAAAGTTTTCGCTCGTGGCAATATCAACCGAGGAATACAAAAGAGCACTTTTGTTATGCTGGTCCAATGCATAGTCAGTCACAAGAATCTTGCTTTGCCGGCCGTACAATTCCACACCCGGCACTGTAAACGTGCCGGCACTTGTTGTTAAAGTGACCGAAGTCGATGTATTCGACATAGACGGTGTATTGACCTGTTGCAGCACGGTGAATGAGGCGCCAGTGTCCGGATTCTGCAACACCCAAGTGAAAACACCATGCGACGAAGCCCGGAAGCCTGTGCCATTACCAAGCATTACTGTCTTGAGCAGATCGGGTGACGATGTCGCAAACATGTTGACGAGCTTCGTCTGAGAGAGCTTGGTCGTTTGCTGCCGGGTCTCACGGAGTGGCGCGCTGTAATCGTAGCTCGTATACACGACCGGTGCGGCAGCTAACAAGGTCAGTTAAGGGACAGGAGACGAGGAACGAGTCGAGAAAGCAGCGCGTACAGTGTCCCCAGTTTGTGCCGCCGTAAGCCATGTATATGTTTTGGAACGTGGTCCGTTGACCAATGTTATTCTGTTTTCGCGGATGTGAGTCTCTTCCTCTTTGTCTTTTGATCTTCCACAGCACCATTCAGCCTCGCTGTCTTCTCACCTTATAATATACATCGGCAAACTCAGGCGAGTGTTCCGCGGCGCACTGTTTGGTTAGCATCAGGTATCGCGGTGTTCAGACGCTCTACTTTGTCTCGTACCTCGTCGTAGAATGTCCCACCCCAGCCAGAGAACCACCCGCCCTCAAACTCCGGCAGTGACACCGGCTGTAAGGCTGCGTATGAGCTGAACCACTGACCGTAGGTACGGACCACGTTGAAGCCCGAGGCACGGTTCGTGCACGACATGCCACCCGGATAGCTGTCCATGCCATAGATGTCTACGGCACCACCAACGTCCTGGTAATCGGACGACCACGATGCTGCACCGCGCATACCCTTTTCGTTGCTGGTGAGCGGCGTGTTGATGCCGGCGGCCCGCAGAGCAGCTTCGAGTTGCTGCATATAAATGACGAGACTGTCGCTGGCGGTATGGTGTGTCTCAGTGAGCTCATTCTCGACCTGTGTCAAGATGATGGGCTGGTGATGTGATCAAGGAAGAGTTTATTAGGGTATGCGAAGGAAGAGAAACGATGCATGATCCACACATCTGGGAAGACTTACACCGTCGTTGCTGATCTGGTTTTTGGCAATGATCTTGCCGATGGCCGCGCTGTACTGTCAGTTTCTCTCTTACTCAACGAGTGTTGGATCGAGTGCCGGGGTCGACCTACATCCATGGTTGCCACGCTTTGTGATAGGTCGCATCGTCGGTTCTCACGGTCCCGAGACTGCCATCGGAGCCCCAGAGCGGAAGGCCGCCGGCATTCGTTTCGGCGTTGCAGTACGGCCCTGGACGGGCGATGACCCAGAGGCCGGCGGACTTTGCGGCGTCGAGCAGGCGCTGGACGTCTTTGGCAGGGCTGGTAAAATCGAAGATGCCGGGTGCGGCGGAATGGTACGACCAGAAAAAGTAGATGCTGCAGATGGGTTGTTAGAGCAGTGGATAACAAATGGAAAACGTCAGTGGTGGACGACGTGAAATGTTGCATGACGAGAGACAGAGACACTACCTTACGGCATTAAATCCGTTGGCCCTGAATTTTTGGAATATATCCTGCATTGTTAGCAAGATGATGAGACAGCCGACACGACACCCTGGAGTACCTACTGGCCACAGTTCTGGCACAGGCAGACGTTGGTAGTGAAACTCGGCCGATTGTAAGAACACGCGAGTGCCGTTGATGCGGAGGCTGAAGCGGTCCCACGAGACGATACCTGGGGAAGCAGTAGAAGACGGTTCATAGTTGTATGCAGAGACCCGGGTCGCCTCCTTCGTGATACGAAAAGCTCGGCTGCAGCTCAGTAGGGCCAATAGCAGCCAGATGGCAGGCAGCATCATAGCTTCGGTATATCGTTAAAACGATGTGGCAATGCGATATGGATAATTTTCAGATGTAGCTCGACTTCACATGAGGTCGATCTAAATTTCTACATCGTCGCCGATGGCGATGTTCGGCTCTAGCTGCACTCTTTTGTGGTGCATCGCCTTCGCATCCTTGTGCCCAAGGCCGGAGCTGCGTAAAGAGAGACGGTAGGCATGTGTACTTGTCATGGAAAAAAGAGTATAGCCATATTGAAAAGACGGGTATGGGCCGCGTTGAACCGACGTTGATTGTCGTACCTACTTTGGCTGTTTGACAGCGGAAAAGCGTTGCCTTTCTGTCCAAGAGGCGTGTGCCCTGTCTCCGATTTGTGGCTAATCTGTGTCATGATTGCCCTTGTGGTTCTCGTGGAATTGGTGAGACAATTGCTTCTCACGAGGCAAGACACGTTTGTGCAAGCCCCGTAACGATCCCAAATATGACCCCACCCTTGCTTTGGCTCTCAGCCTTGCGATCGGCCACTGCCAGCTTTGTGCCCTAGACAAGAGGCGTCCCAAAGCCATCAAGTATGCGGGTTTGTGCGGTGGGTAGCGCAGCTTGTAAACAGCGTCCGTTTGGAAGCTGTGGAAGCTGCGGTCGACACTCCATCTTAAAGCTATCTCAAGATTTGATCTTGAAATCAGACATACATCGTATAGCTGCAGCAATTTGATATTCAGCAGCATTTTTGTAGTGGCTGAGTCTCGGGCAACCATTCGAGCGGCTGAGCGCCGGCGATCGCAACATGTGCCGATGTGTTCACGCGTCGAGACGCGTGCGGAGAGGATGCGACTGTGACATAACGCCGCAACTCTTAGGTGCCCGCCCGTATTATAAAGTAACTTCATAGTGTCACCGGCCACTGAGCTCTTTTCGGTATCCTTGACAGAGCCGCCATGGAAATAAGAAATACAAGATCCCAGAGGCTTGAGCATCCGAAACAGTAGCGCGCCCACTGACCAGCAGTGATCCTTGTATTTTGGCCTGTTCGACGCAAGTGCATGTTGTAAATGCGACGAAAGATTCGTTAGATGCCTGCATCATCCTTGATTCTACCCAATCCGTGGACAGAGGGGAAAGGCTTCGAGCGTCGTGAATCCAGAATGGGGACTAAGTGCATCGCCAGAAAGAAATAAAGACGGGCAAAGGCCGTCCCGTTGTTCTCTTAGACTATAGTGCAAAGCAGGAAGTCACGAAACCCCGTCCGAGCCAGCTTCTGTTCAAAGAAATTTTCGGTAGAAGTTCTCGTGCTTCTGCAACCGCAGATGCATCTCGTCTATACAACAAATATGCAGACAGGTGGACAGCAGGGCTCTGTTCTTGCTTGTAGTGCTGAGTATCTGAATGTTTCGCGGTGTCTCCAACAGGCGGGGTTGTCTTTCGTTGCTGGCCCTGCGCTCCGCAATGACGGACGAAGAGCCCAATTTGGTGTGGACAGGACGAAATTGAGACTGTGCTTTACTTGTGCGCACCCAACCCTTGCCCACAAAGGCGGGCCTACTCAGAGCCCTTATTTGAAACGTTGGATTGGATAGGTGAGGACCTGGTGCTCTCAGGGCATTGGACGATGAGAGGCGATGGAGAGGTAGGGCTTCACCGATCAGCGCTACCGGATTGCTTGCAGATGACCCAGTCTTATGTGGCCCTGGTGGGCTTCGAGACTTCTTCCCTGTAAGCATGTTTTTTGAAGCGACCAACACAAGAACAAAAACCAGGAAAGTCGGAAGCCAAAAGAGTCTATGTCGAGAGAGACCCGCTGGCAGATGGGTAGGCAAGGCCCAGACTCGATTTTGTTGCAATCTTTCCTAGCTTGCATGTCAGTTTAGCCGGAATGCGGCAGTCGATGCGGTAGATCAATCGGACGCCAAGTGCCGTGTGAGGACAAAAGGACCGTATTAAAGTCGGAGACGGTTAGCAAGTGTTGATCGTATCGATGGGAAGCCAAAATCACATAATTGTCAAGACGCAGAGTCCAGACTCGGAACGACGGCAGTAAACACAGGTTGAAAGTACGAAATACAGTCTGCACAGACAACGTCCGAACGCAAGGGAGGACGAGACATTGCGCTCAATGGAGCGAACGAAAGCAGTCCAAAGAGGTAATGTCAACGAAAGAAAACATCAGACAATAAGCCAAGCAAAAGGAAACAAAACCACTCTTCGACAAAAACGTATGTAACGAAACAAGCACAGTGCGAGACGATTGCCTGCCCCGCCCTACCAACGCCACTTCCTTCTAATCCATGGTACAGCATATTGTCCCCAAGGACTGAGCGTCGAGATGGCGAGTAATTGTGCGGTTGCGATGGTTATGTGTTTTGCCGTCGTTGACTTTGTTGGAGCTATTGTGGGTTTCCGCCTGGTAGCTTTTTTTGGGCTGTGGGAGGAGGGGCAGAACGCGTCAAGAACGCGCCTTTTGTTGACGGCAGATTATTGACTTGTTACCACAATAGGCTTAGCTCGATCGACGCGTCCCAAGAGCTCCTACTCGAACGTCGTGTTACTTTCCTAAAATGTACTTTGCTTCAGACCAGCAGTTTGTATCTTCGCTACTTCCGTGGCTTTTCGCTTGGATACACGATGCAGCCCCGTTGCACTTTCCTTGGAATTTGTTTCTCCTCAGTGGCACCTTCCCTCTGTCAGCCTTTCACGCGTGGCACGATACGAGCGGCAGGAGCATCTTGTCATTGGCGTTTTTATTGAAAGCATCTGGCGAGCACAGCTTGCTCGTTCTCTCGTATGTGTCTTTGCCTGAACCAGAATGGTATGTCAATTAGGAAAGAAGAACCGAAAATGAGAATTTTTTTTCCGTAGTGGATACAGGAAAGACGAAATGGCAGGACGACAGCACAAGATGAGACGTCTCTCGAGCCTCTGACCGCCGCATCTTTCCCTTGTATGATTCCGCATCTCGATCCTGGCTCGCTGTCTGCCGGCGCTGCTAGGATATTTTCGGGGCGAGAGAGGTGGGAGCAAGTCGGAAAAAGGAAACAGAAAGCCAGATGACGCGACATTGCAGTGGACTAGTTCAGCAACTAACTACGCAAGCATACCCAGAAAAAGAGCAGACCCTGGTCGGGCGTTTCGGAGACCGCACGTCTTTATTATCGACTTTCGTTTTCCCGATCAACAACTCGTCAGCAGATGTCTTGCTCCGCCTTTCCTTTTTTTGAGCTGGTCAGAGCGCGAGCAAGACACTGAAGAAAGAAAGGCGGAAGCAAATGACGAGGCACGAAACAAAAAGAGGCCGAAAGACTGACAAGAGGACGGCAACAGAAGGGTCATGATTTGAGGTTGTTATCGAATCGTATTGCCGTATCCTAGCGGATCTTACACCTTCCCTGGTCCTGGACACGGCGCATTTCTGCCGCTCTGCTTCTGCAGCTCACCTGCATCGAGGCACGGTTTGTTTCAGCAGGATGGACACCTGCAACACAACTGACATGAGCGGCTGACTGGGCGGCTGACGAGAAAGTCAACAATGCGAGAGTCAACAAACATAGGAACTCAAAATATAGAACAGCTTTGTTGACGTTTATCCTCTTTGGGAGAGCTTTTGTCGACACCACCCGTCAATTGCGTCACAAGATGTCACCTAGAGTTATTAAGTAAACGAGAAACGGAGAGAATAGGACAGCCGGTATGGGAGAGAAATCGCCATGTGAAGACCAAAGAGGAAAAGAAAAACAAAGCCAGAATGTACAAACAAAGCAAAGACGTGCATTCCAGTGCGAGACAGGGAAACACACACTGGGCACATCTTCCGGGGATACTGGGAAAGTACGAAAGACGCTGGTGGGCTGGAAGGGCTGGGGGACAGTTGCGCTGTGGGTGCTCGACAGATCAGTGGTGGATCCTGGATCTCTCTAAATTGTAGTCGTGAGTACTCCGTAGTTTGCGCTTCAAACTTTGGCAAAGAGGCACGGTCGGATACCGCCCGCTCCTGCTCCCACGCTACTACGACCCTGGTCGAAATACCCAGCCGTCGCATGGACTTCGTGAAGGAGCACCAAATAAAAAGGAGCAAAATGAGGAAACGACGCGTTCTCAGCCAATGGTATTACGTCGTTAACTTAGACGGTCACAACCAGGAAAGGCAAGAACACCCCAGTCCTGGTCATTACTTCCTGCCTTTTGGTCGAATTCTGCATGCCCGCATAAGACTTGTAATAACGTCCGTTTCCCTCCTTCCTGGCCGTCGTTTTCTTCTTCTACTCGGTGCCTCGCTCCTTCCGCTCAGCTTAGCATGCTCCTTCTTCCGACTTTTTTTTTTCTTCCCTTTGCTCTTCCCCGTCTTGTGGTTTTTCACCCCCTTTCACATCCAACCTGTGATCCTCTTGTTTTCTCGTTTTCTTCTCTGTTTTGGTATCACTCCAACGTTGCCGGTACACCCGATAGAGTCGAGTCGCCACTTACATACATGGCCAGCCGGATGTCGCCCTCTCTTGTGCAAGTCGCCTCTCTTTTCGACTGATCACAACAATAGCGCACCACAAAACGTGCTCCCAACATTCCATTCTTTTTCTTCGCTCTTGCTTTCCCCTCTTCATTTACACCTCGTGCTCCCTACACATAGGCATAGGGCCAAGAAAAAGGGCCAGCCGAAGCCTAGACCTTTCCCCTACGTTCCTCTATTACTCCGTAGAGTGGCCGCCCTTTGATGACTTTCAGTGGGCTGGGCATTCTTCTCTGGAATTTCCTGCATCTTTTTTGCATAGTTTTCTAGTTCCATTTTTGCCCTCCATTTGGCGAGAGCTTTCTGGTTTATTGACTTTCTGACGCTTTCGGTCATTCTTTTGTCAGTCATTTTGTTTTTCTTCGCTTTTTTTTGTTATTATATCCTTCCCTCTCAATTATCGACGTTTGTTTGCCGTCAACATCCCCTCCCCTCTCCACCCAACTGCTTCCCGGGTTTCCGCAACCTCTCGATATTAAACGAAACGGAAACAAAATAGAGACGGAACCGGGCGGGTGAATCGGCCTTTTTCTTTTCCTTCTCTGCGGCTTCTTTACTGCTTCTGACGTCCTGCCGCCCAAAGCGGCACCTCACGCCTCTCTCGCACGCACGCACACACTGCCTCCTCGACGAACACGGCCTGGCGAACCCGTCTCTGCGTCTCACCCAGATTGAGTTGCAGGCCATCGCTTGCCTCCACTCGCCCTCTAGGAAACGGCTTGCGCTTTAGTTTCCTGCGAACGGACAAACAAAACAAGAAAATACCCGCGGTACTGTCGCCTCTCAGAGCATCATCTACTCAACGAGACCCGCCGCATTGGCCTGCCTGGACGAAATTTTCCTTAGACAGCCTGGTGCTGAGGAAAGAGGCGAAGCAGAGTGGGTGCTGTATAACAGACGCCGGACACGGCCTGGCTCATCCTGCTCATCCTGGCCCAACCTGCTTCTCTCCTGACGTGCCCTGTTTTCTGTTTTTTGGATCCTGGATCTCACTCGCGAAGTCTCTTTAGGTCCATCGGCCCGCTCCTACCCCCAGCCTCGTTTTTTGTCATACATTTTTGGTTTTATTTATTTTTGGTTTTCTATTTCAAAAACGGGATTTTTTTGCACATCTAGCTACTGGAGACCTCGACGGCCTGGCCATCGGAACCTGGGAGCTCTTAAAACGCCCTGGTATCCAATTGGCATCCTTTTCACAACCATCACTCTCTTCACACACTCTCCCACCCGAATCACACAAATGGCTGTGCCGTCAAGTATTCCGACTGTGCTCGGTGCACTAGCCGCACTCACCACGACGGCTCTCGTGGCCGTACATGCCATTCTTGCACACGAGCTGACAAGCTCTGCGTCATCATCCACAAGATTACTAGCAATCGTCTCGGCTGCGCTTGAAGGTGTTATTTTTGTCATTGTTTCTGCACATATCTTCGTCCACCTGCGAAACTTGCGGAACAAACAGAGCACAGCAACTATTTCAACATCAGAAAAACAAACCATTCTGTCACCATCAACAAAACAAGGCGTTTGGTTTGGCTTGAGCATCTTCTTTTGCACAGTTGGCGCGACTGTCTCCGCAGTTGCTCTGGCTAACCTTCACAAGTCTGTCCAGCATGAACAGAAGGAGGCGATTTTCGGTTCCAGCGCTGTTCCCTTCCTCGCAGGTGCTGCTGTCACATTGGGCATCGGTTTTTCTGCCCAGCTCCTTTTCCTCATCTTTACGCTGACCGTGGCTCGCTCAGCTGCTGTTAACGGCCATATGGTTCGGTCAGCTTCACTCGAGACGGGCCGCACCAACGGAGGTGTCAGTGGCATCAGCAGTCGGTCCAACAGCAGCGGCAGCAACAATAACATCAACGCCAGCACCCGATCCACCTCATCAACACGGGTCAAGTCTGTACCCTATTGCCAGACCAACAGCCCTTCCAGTGGCCGAAAGGAGACAAAGGCCGCGTCCATCCTCTCACGCGGTCGAAGCACCAGAGACGTTGAGGCTGATCTCCGCACGCCGCCCGGATCTAGTGGCGGCGGCTCAGATACCATGGCCTCCATTCGGACGTCCTTTTCACAGGTCATTCGCCCCATTACATCTAAGACCCGCTTGGTTTCACCGAACAGCGTCAGCAGCGGCCTGGTGGGCCACAGCGACACCAGCATCAGTGGTACCAGCAGTCAACGGTCGTCAGCATGGCGACCTATTTCTCTGGCCGGCTCCTCTGCTTCCCCTGCAAGCACATGCGCATCTCGCGAGCGTGACGTGCGCCCGAGCATTGAGGACTTTGATTCTTGGGACACGTCCGCGGTGGACCCGCAGAACCGCCTGACTGTGCTCGAGAGCTCTACGTTACCAGCGGCCATTGCCGGCCGTTTCTTGGAGACCATACCTGCCAGCCCCACAACCAGCCGCAGTCCGAGCCCTGGAACGCCTCTGGACCTGGAGCCACCACGGTCCCGTCAGCGCCGGAGTCGCAGCTACAGCCCGTCTGCATCGTCCATGCACTCAGCCAGCGGAGCGCGCCTGCGGTCCCAGTCCCATTCCCAGTCACCGCCACCGCCACCTGGAGAGGCCCACATCCACCCCCTCTTCCGTTCCGACTCGCCGACGCCTCCGCCAGCAGTGTCTGCCGGAACTGTTGTGACTGCCGCGCCGCCCAATGCCAGCCAGATGACTGTTACCGACGCACAGAGTCTGCGGACGTTGAACCGCATGCGCAGCGGCAGTCTCCCGGCCGTCTCTAGTCCTCTCAGCCGCCAGGGCAGCTTCGACGACTTTGGCCTGCGACGCGGCGGTGCGCTTTCTGAGCGGCCGCACACTGGTATCGGCAACGGTCATGAGCTGCGGGAGGAGGACGGCGACAGCGTGGGCGTGGGCGCCGGCCACAACGATGATGAGGATGACGCGGACCGTCGGTCTCGTGCCGACAGCAACACTGAGCGCAAGATGACGCCGCCCATTCCGGAGTGGATTCTTAGTGCTGGTGCCCGCACAAGCTTGTCGGGTTACCAAAGCCGCAAGGTGCGAGTCCAAGATGGCGCGCCCTGCTAGATACACTTGCGACGAACAACACTGAAACGAAACACGACCTTCACACGACTTTTTCACGACTCTCATTTGATCCACCTTCACGGGCCTTAATTTTTCTTTGTCATTTGCCTATTTCTTTTCCTTCTCTGTTTCTGGCTGCAGGTCGTCTTGTAACGCATTCGTTTGTAGACACGTTCCGGCCAATTCTGATTGGATGTATTTACGAGGAGCTGGGGAGTTTTTTCGTTTTTATCCTGTATACCTTTTGGGGTCCAAGGCTGGGTTCAAAGACTCGGGGATGCTTTTTTCGTCTGTTTGGGAATGATTCCGCTGATTGGATGACTGTTTTGATTGGAGATACCACTTTCTTTTATATCGTCTCCTCTTTCTGGCCCTGTCCGTACGACGCGACCTTGTTTGTAGTAACATTGAAAACCAATGCAAATATCAATATGTCGTGCAAAGTATGTCGGCGCGAAGGTGACTATCAACAGTAGTCGCCGTTGGGAGAGGCGATAAGCGACCAAAGGAATGATACTTTGAGAAAAGCTGTATGTAATTACGCAGTGACGTGTTGTATCTCCTCAAAGGTGGGGTATTCAACCTTTGCGCTCCAGCTCTTTTTGGCTACATATTCTGCAAACATGGTTAGGCTGCGGGTAGGTTTCGTCGTGCAAAGTGCGCCAGAGCGGTAACAGGCAGCTAATCTGTTACGCCATTGGAAAAAAAATACGCTTTCGCCTCCGGGACCCGTAGCCAGCAAATAAGGCGGCAGGTAGGGCAGTCGTCGGCCCCAGCCCACTGCACCAGGCTTCCCAGGAGCTGCGCTGGCCGCCTTCCTTCCTCCAACTACTTCCCCTCCATCAGCATTGCCTCTTCTCCGTAGAGTTGCGCCTGCCTATTTCTGGTCGCTTGCCCGCGGGCTCTCCACTTGCCTTTTCTGCCTGTCATAGGGCGCCCCTTCCTTCATCTTTACCTCACAAACTCGCTTTCCTAAACCCGACTCTGACAAGTCACTTCTCCAGTCTGGCAACAACGACCACGACTGCTTTTCCATCTTGTGCCGGGTCCCTCCTTCCCTCCTTTCCTTCATCAACTTCCCTTTGGTCTCGCTCATCCATCTTTCTCGCCAAACTCGCGATCCCTCGCTTTTCTCGCATCCTCGTCGGCTTTTTTGCCTCACAGCTATCAACACCCCTCACCCACCTTTCCCCGTCCCGCCCTCTCCCAGTTGCCCACCATGAAAGTCACATTCAAGGTACTGCCGCACTCGTCTTGCACCCTGTCTTCTCCGAGCTTGTACAGCATACTAATTTTGCTCTCTCCTTCCCAACAGGATCTCAAGCAGCAGAAGTTTGTCATCGAGGTCGATCCATCAGAGACGGTGCGTTTTTGCTCTTCCACGGCGCCGAGCCAAGGCTTCCTTTGCTCCCTGCGCTCTCCGCCGATACCTCCCCACGTCACCCATGACCAGAAAGCAGATTCCGTTCCGGCACCGGCGCACTGCCAGGCATCGCCGCATGTTGCTCAGTGATGGACAAGCTATCTTGCAACCGAAGTTGTTACCATGTTCCTCCCGTCTAACTTATTGGTTGCTGCTGTAGATTGCCGCTGTCAAGCAAAAGATTTCCGACGAGCGCGGCTGGGAACCAAAAACGCAAAAGCTCATCTACTCTGGTACGCATCCAATGCTTGTTTCCTATGTTCCTCCCGTAACTTCGACACTGCATGGCCTCAATGTGACTAAAAGACTAACCTTTCGTGCCCTTTTCCCTCCGCATCTAGGCAAAATCTTAAAGGATGAGGAAACTGTCGAGTCGTACAAGATCGAAGAGAAGGGCTTTGTTGTCTGTGTTGTGAACAAGCCCAAGGCACCGCCTGCCGCCGCCCCTGCCGCCCAGTCATCAACAGCCGCTGCTGCCTCGAGCGCCTCTGCACCGGCCCCCGCCACGCCAGCCCGCAGCGCCGGTCCCGCCGCTACACCTGCTGCACCTGTCGCCGCAGCTGCTGCGCCATCCGGCGCGCCAGCTGCGACGCCCACCCCGGCCGCCCGCGCCAACGATGCTAACTACACGGACCCCAACTCCTTCTCCGTTGGCCCGGCTCTGCAGGAGGCCATTGCCAACATGGAAGCCATGGGCTTTGAGCGCAGCCAGATCAACGCTGCCATGCGCGCTGCGTACAACAACCCGGACCGCGCTGTTGAATACCTGCTGACTGTGAGTACCGCCATTTTCTTGGCGCCTTGTGGCACGAAGCTTCAAGCGCATGTACTGACGTACGTTAGGGTATTCCCGACAACCTGCAACAACAACAACAGGCCCAACAGGCGCCGGCGGCACAACAAGCAGCACCTGCTGCTGCTGCTACCCCCGCTGGCGATGCCTCGACGGATGAAGCTACTGCTGCTGCAATTGCCGCCGCGGTTGCTGAGGGCGGCGACGAGGACGACGACGGTGTGAACCTGTTCGATCTGGCCGCTCAGCAAGGTCGTGGCGGTGCCGGTGGTGCCGGTGGTGCCGGTCGCGGCACGAGTGCGGCAACCGCAGCAGCGGCTGCCGCTGCAGCGGGTGGCGCAGGTGCGGGCCAGGGACTTGGTAACCTCGACTTCCTCCGCCACAACGCTCAGTTCCAGCAGCTCCGGCAGGTTGTCCAGCAGCAGCCGCAGATGCTTGAGCCCATCCTGCAGCAGCTCGGCGCTGGCAACCCTCAACTGGCCCAGCTTATCGCGCAAAACCCGGACCAGTTCTTGAGCTTGCTGAGCGAAGACGGCGACGACGATGACGCACCGCTGCCGCCTGGCGCCCAAGCTATTGCCGTTACCGAGGAGGAGCGTGATGCTATCGAGCGCGTATGTTTCCTTTGGTTTCCCTTTTCTTCTCTCATGATGCCCCTTGTACTGACGTTTGGTCATATTCAGCTTTGCCGCCTTGGTTTTGACCGGGATCAGGCCATTCAGGCCTACTTTGCTTGCGATAAGAACGAGGAGCTGGCTGCCAACTTTTTGTTCGACCAACCCGATGACGACGAGCCGACAGCCAACCAGTAAACGAAAGTCGATGCGGCTCACCTATGTCCGCTGTCGGATGACAGAAAGTACAAAAAAAATAATGGCAGTCGGTTGAAATACCCAGTAGAGAGTGTCAATCAGAGGTGGTGAAACAATTTGGACGATCGAACATGGAAATATAAACACATGCTCGGATTAGGAATTGAGAGAAATCATCAGTCGGGCCAGCATGAGCAACCCCCAAAACGAGACAAAAAAAAATTGAAACGAGAATACACGACGTGCACCACGAGCACAAATCGGTTGAGAGGACAGAGGAAAGCTGGTCCCATATTGGATGGGCCTGTTGTTTGCTTCGCCTTTCGTCTTCCTTGCCACCAATGCGGGCCGGTAGAAAGGAGGATCATGGGAGGGAGGCATGGATATGTCTTTTGCACTTTCTTTGGTGTTACGTCCGGGCCGCTCTGGATTATAGTTATATCCCCGAGCCCTATTATGACACGTTCACTTCTTCTTTCGTATATGTCAGCCTCACGCTTCACATATGTTTCTCCTGTAACTTGAGTAAATGATGGATTTTGAATTCGATCTTGAAAAGGCTACAAATACGCACCAGGCATAGGCTTGCATACTGTCTACCTGCATGCCTCTGAGCCTGCGCGAAAAAGGATGAAAACAATAAATAACTAGAATGCGGGTATCGAACTCCGAATATCTGTAACAATCAGAGCATTGCCGCCTCTGGTGTTCATCTGCTAACACGTAATACAAAACAGTAAAAGTACAAATGACTGACAACGCTGCAGGTTGTGCGTTGTGACGACCGTCTTCAGCTCATGCGCAAGTAAACCTATTGCCTTATATGCCAAAACCTCCGGCTGCGGGTTGCCGCGGTGCCTTGCTGCGGCCACGGCCTGTCTTTCCGTTCCGGCAGCCCTTGCCGCCGACAATCATATCCGTCGCATCAATCTCGTATTCATCCCCACCGGCGCCACCTCCACTACCGCCACTGGCATGGGTTATTGTAGAGTTTGCGCCGTTGTTTCCACCGTTGTTGGCACCATTGCTGCCAGCCGTGCCGCCATTGCGCGGGCCAAAGAGTGCCTCTCGTTTCTTGCGCAGCGCCTCGGCCTGCTCGTCGATGATGCGCTGTTGCTCTGCATCGTGCTCGGCCTGGCGTAGCGCATACTCGGCGTCAATTGTCTCCGTCGCGTGCAGCGTCACGCCAGTCCGCGCCATGTACTCGTCGACGTCAATGGCGACCTTGTTTTGGCCTACCAGCGCCTCTGTGATGCGCTGTGGGTGCAACTTGTCCTCGCGGTTGAACTTCATCTTGATGTGGCGGCGCGACTTGCCCGGGAACCACTTGCAGATCAGGTCGAAACTGGTGCCGAACATGCTAAGCGCACGGTAAAACAGTTCCGTCTCGGCCTCGGTCCACGCATTGGGTCCACGCAGCTTGCCGGGCTTGAGGTACGTGTTGGACGTTGTCTGGCGTGTAAAATCGTTCTCTTCCACCTCTTCAAGCTCGCCTGCCTCGGCGGCAGCGGCGGCGTGGCGATCGTGCACCAGCGACGCCTGATTGACGACGATCGCACCGTCAATAATCTCAAACTGCGGGCCCGTGACGGCTTGCGATGCCTTCAGCTTGGAGTTGGCAAGAGACTTCGTTGCAGCCGCCAGTACTGAGGCTGCAGCGGCGGCGGCCTCGCTACCATTCGGGGCACCTGCGATGACGGCGGCGGCCGTGTTGCTTCCGCTCGCCTCGTCGCCGAGAATGGAGCCTTCGCGGCTGCTGTTGTTTGTTGATAGCGGACCGCCATCTTGGCCCTGATTTTTCTTGCTCAGCAGCCGCTCCCGACGGTACAGCCGCCGCTTTTCGCGCAGGCGGTCCACGAGCTCGTCGTGCCGGCTAAATTTCTTGCCAATCCGCAGATCCTTGGTAAGGTCCTCCATCTTGAGCTCTCGGTGGTCGACAGTGCGTGTTTCGGCATCCTCAGGTGTTAGTGACCGCTCTCTGCGGATGCGTTTGGGCGCCGTCGTGGCTGTTATTGCCTCTGGGGTGCCTTCTGCTGGTGTCTCTACAGATGCGATAACTCCGCCATCGGCAGCGGGAGCCGCAGCTGCCGGAGCCGCACGTTTCTTGCTCGCAGCAGTAGCCCGCGGTCGAGGCGCTGCTTCGCTTTCTTGGCCGACAGCTTCGACCGCGGTGTCCCCAACCGGCTTTCTTCTCGTGTATTTTCGCTTCTTCGGCGGCGGTTCTAAGGCCGAGGAAGATTCGTCTTGTGCCAAGGCGGCACCCAGGTCGGCCGTCGCTGCTGCTGCCGCCTTATCGGCTGCTCTTGGCCGGCCACTCCGTGGTGCTGTTATTGGGGGGGACGTCGGTGCAGCATCGGTAGCTGAAGTGGCACTGGGGTCCGCAATGCTTGCATCCTTATGCGGGCCCGTCTGGCCCTGGGCTGAGGATATGCTGCGCGTCCGTGTGGCGGTTGCTGCAATATCGGTCATGGGCTCGCTTGTTGTGGTCGGTGTCGCAGCGGCCGTCTCACCGGCCTGCAACAAGTTGCTAATGGTTATTCGGCCCCTTTCTGATTCCTCGTCATCTTGCGGTTGTGTGTCATCTTGAGCGGGTTCTGCCACCGTCGTCCTTCTTGTTGCTCGTGCTTTTGTTGCCTGCGTGGATGGAGGTGTTGGGGGTAGGACCGCCGCAGATTCTTGTACCACTGCACGGGCTGCTGCTGCCCGTGCTGTCGTACCTGAGGCATGGGTCGACTGACGTCTAGTTCGTGTTGATACGGCAGATGGTGCTGATGGTCGTGCGTCTTTCCGCGACGCGGCTGCTCCTGTTTCTGTGGGAGCGGATGGCGATGGTGTAGGGGCCCGTGCCGCTTCCTGTGTCTTGTCTGGAGCCGACGACGCCGCCGGGGCAGAAGCAGAGTCCTGTGATGGCGCCGGGGTCTTGGAGGGCCGAGCAGTGACCTGAGAAGTTGTTGAAGCAGACAGCGTCGAGGCGGCCGCACCGGCACCAGGACGCCGCACCGGTGCTTTCGGCTTGAAGGCCAAGCCACCTTTTTTCTTGAACATGGAACTCATCGTGACCGACCAGAATGTGTCGCCGGGCCCGGGTGAGCTTAGGGTGGCGGAGATCGCGAGGGCATGCAATGAAGAGCCTCTGACTGTCGTTTCGTTTGCGACCTTGTTTTTGTCACTTCCGTGTTTGTGTCCAGCGCGGTCTGGCGGGGCGTTGGAAGGAACGGTTTTGCCGGGGTGCTCTTGCCAGCAAGTTTTCTTTTTGCCGGGAAAATACAGAAGGCGGTGACCGCTGCAAGGGCTCCTGGAGAGGCTAAGGCGTTGTGATACAAAACATTAATGTGGAGACTGGACACGTCCGATCGTTTGCTTGGGCGATTGACTCTGCTTCTGTCCGTCTTGTTGATGCGACACGATCTGTTGCGCTGCGTCAGTCCTCCTGCTTGGCCAATTGCTTTCTACGAGGCCTGGCTTTTGGCCTGTCTTTTTTCGTCACGCTCGGAAGTCTACCACTTTCGCTTATGCACTAAAGCGGGCGTACACGTGACCGTGTTGGTCGGTCAGTCTGGCAGAGTGCAGAAGCGATGACCATTTCTTGATACGCTGCAGCACAGCATCGGCTCGGCCTGTCTCTGGCCGTCCACAGCCGTAGCATTTGCTTTCAGCTTTGTTCTTTTCTAGCATCCTGACTTCGATGCCGTCGACTCGATGTCCTGCAAGCTGCAAGCCCCTGTACCCCCTAGAGCACGCTCCTGCCTTGCAGAATCACTGGCCCCACCCCCGATAAGACGCACTTGCCTGTCTCGCCCCAGAATCGCGTTCGCCCTTTCCGGATTAGTGCAATTTCCAACCAATCCCGGCTCGCGACCCACTTTTGCCGTTCTCCCTGTTCTTACGGACTACTGCTCTGATTCCTCTGGTTTTGCCTCTGGTCTTTTTGATTTTTGCTCCTTTCTTCCCTGTGGCTTGTCTTGAATTCGCCAAAATTTCAGTCTCCTTCCCCCCATCGCCAACGTACATTCTTTCGTTGGCTTTTGCCTCAACAACCTCACCTCCTGGATGCTTCTACCACGCTCATTTCGCACACTCACTCGCCTTGCCTATGAGTGTGCCCACGTCGCCCCCTGGTTGAATGCGCCAGGACTCCATATATTCTCGTGTACCCTTTCTTTTCCCGCATTTCAGGCTGGCCATCAAGTATCTTGCATTTGGAGATCCGCTACCTCTTCCAAGTTCACCTCGTCTTGCTGCAAACACTTTTCGCCCTCCCCAACGCCGCACTAAGGCCCCTTTTCATCGTCATTCAGCATCGCAACTTTGTCTCCTGCCAGCCCGCTTTTTATTTTCCCCTCTCACTTGGCCCCTTGGCCGGCGTCTTGTCGCCTGCCTGACCCTTTTTATCGCGCCCCATTCCACCGCATCTTTCTTCTCATGCCGATTGCCACTGCACCCTCCGCCGTGCCGACTCGTCCGTCCGCCGTCGCCAAGATGGAGGACAGGAAGAGGCCGGCCATCGCCGACACCGACGAATATGCGCCCCCCAGCAAGCGGCAGGCTGTGAATGGCGGCGCCAGCAAGGTCAAGGAGGACCCCAACGGCGAGTACCGCGATGAAGCATGGCTCGAGGTAAGTCTTTTTTCTTGTCACACGACACCACGCGATGAGTCGCATCTTCTTTCCGTAACAGAATGGTCCTCCCTGGATGCCTCGACAGCCTTGGTTCGTCTGCTTTGGACGCTTTCCCCTCGCTTTCAAGAAGCGCTCCTCGATCTGTCAATGTCGGCTTGTCGTCATGCTCATCCAACCATCCTCTATTTCCTTTACGCCATCGATGCAATGAGCACGCGCTGCGGCCTCGCACCCCTTCACACAAACGCACTGCCTCGAACCTCCCCGATGAATTGCTGGACGGCTGCTGACTTACTGCTCTCCTGTAGGACTTCCAAAAAGATGCCATCATCCGCCAAATGAACGAATACAAGAGAGAAAACGCCACGTTGGAAGCCAGGATCGAAGAGATACAAAAGCGCTCGACGTACCATGACGACCATATCCGCATTGCCGACGCATGGGTGCTTCAGGTAAGCCATCGCTAAACCACCACAAACACAGGCGGCTCATCAGTGCTGTTTTACGACTTCCATGGACACATTCCTGACTCGCCCTTTAGTTATTACAAGAGATCGAACTCCTTTGCGAAGGCACTGTCTCCACACACCCAAACTCGAAAGGTAAGCCAATAATTACGACACTCGCGTGAGAATCTGGCCTTGGCCGATTGTTATGAACTGAACGCAACCTTGTCTTCCTTACTTTCTCTCTTTACGCACTGTTGCTAACATATCTGTCCTAGAATTTCCATATCCATCTGCGCTGAGCTTTAAAGACAGCCGCGACTTTCAAAAACATATTGGCGAGAAGACGAAGCTGGTCAAGACACGACTTGAGACCTTACTTAACCGGTTGTCAGGGTTCCGTGAGGCCATTAAGCCCGAAGTTGTCCAAATGGAGTCTCAGATCAAGCATCTGCTGGCTGCACAAAAAGACTACGCGCTGAAGCTGGAGCGGTTGGAAACAGACAAGGACGATATATCACAACAACTTGATACCGCGACACTGCGATATATTAAGGCAGAGAAGCGGATAGATCGAATGCGAAGTGCACAGGTGCAGAAGATGGAAGAGAAGGCTCTGGCGCACGTCACGGCGCGACCAGCACCTGCTGAAAATGGAAACGCCGACCAACCCGCAGCAAATTCAGCCAGCCTGGACGCCCTGCAAGGAAAATACGACGAATCCCTCGCTGTCATCAACAAGCAAAAGGAGCAGCTGGACAAAATCCTCGGCGAGATTAAGACCTTGCAGGACGAGAACACCACGTTCCGCTCGAAGAAGGAGGCCGCCACCGAGGAAGACTATGCCCGGACGGACCTCTTCAAGCAAGTTCGGAGTCAAAACGAAGATATGATAAGGCGGACAAATCACCTCGAATCAGCGAACAAGCAGCTGCGCGAGGAGATTGAAAAATTGCAGACTGATCGGACAGCCTTCCGCACCAAGCTCGATGCCGAGGCCCAGAGCGTGGCTAATGACCTGGAGGACCAGATCCAAGCGAAGGACCAGGATCTTACGCGGATCCGGTCGGCTCGCGACGAGCTGGTCGCTGATGTGCAGATCCGCAAGGCCTGCCAGGACCAGGAACGGACCGCGTTTGAGCACCTAAACGAGCTGGTGGCCGCCAAGGAGGACCGGATAGCAGCACTCGAGAGCGAACTGGGACGGCTGCGCCCAACCGAGGGCGCCGATACGACGACACCTAGCGCTGAGCTCGAGGCGCTCTCCCCTGAAGCGCTGCGCGAACGCTTTGCCAAATTGGAAAAGGATTTCATCTTGATCCAGAGCGAGATGCCGTCTGTGGAGAAGGCGTATAAGAAGGCGATCGGTCTTGCGCAGAAGAAAGTTATGGACTTTAGTGCGTTGGAGGAGCGCGTGACCATGTTAACGCTCGAAAAGGCCAAGGCCGATCAAAAGTACTTTGCTGCGCGCAAGGACATGGACATCCGCATTGCCGAGATCCGCGCACTCCGCCACCAAAACAGCAAGAGCTCCGAGATTATTGCATCTCTCAAGGATGCCGAGGCACAGAGCCGTTCGGTGCTCAGCAACTTTGAAAAGCAGCTGGCCGATTTCCGGCAGGCCAACACGACCATTGCCGAGGAGAGCCGGCAGCTGAAGGCGACAAATGCCGATGTGGCGCGGCGGTTGGAATCTAGCAAGGCTCAGATTGCCGAGCTGGCGAATCTGGTCAAGCAGAAGGATGCGGCGAATGCAGCGATGCGCGAGCAGGGAGCCAACCAGGAGACTGAGCACGAGAAGATCAAGGTTCGCCTAACCCATGTGCAGAAGGACCGAGACAGTTGGAAGTCCAAGTGCCTTGCCAACTCTTCCGAAGAGGAGGAAATGCTCCGAGTAAGTCGTCTGATTCGTCCTCTTTTCATTTTCAAGTATGGGTCATGTCACTAACAGCTTAGAAATTTGCATTGTGCTCGGTCTGCCGTCACAACTTCAAGAACGCCATCATCAAGACATGCGGGCACGTCTTTTGCCAGACATGCATTGATGCCCGGTTGAGCAACCGGATGCGCAAATGCCCGTCGTGCAACAAGGCCTTTGACAAGATGGACGTTATGTCGGCTCACTTTTAGGACCTTGCGGAGATGCCGTCCACAGAATCAAAGATAAATCGACCAAACAAGACACAGCCGACCAAAGCGACGACCCGGATGTCGTCGACTACTCGAACGGAACCGACCCGAGCTGCAATGCCAACCAACTGGAAAATGGCGCCCTTCGCAAAAAACGATCTGATCAATCTCGAGAGCCTCAAACGCTGCGCCAGGTGAGCCTCATGCGCCGCACTTCCCTGCGCAGGCAATGCCTCGCTCTTCACGCCGCTCTCGTGCTCTGCGCCCTGTAGTGTTTCAACGCACTGTAATACAGATGTCGCTGCGGCTGTTGTTTTCTCCAGCTCGAAATCCTGTTGTTCACGCGCCAAACTCACGCACCCATCTCCCTCCAGCGTGGATGGGCCCGGAGAGCTCTAGGCAATGTCTTTCAATCGAGGTCCCGAATCTTCTACGGGCCTTTGGACGTGAACGCAACCAACGAATTACGCGCCACTTGGTGTTATTCACAAGCCATCGGGTGTCATACAGCTTTGCCGATCGCCAATGTTCCCTTGGGCGTCGTTTACACGACGGGTACAAACATAGGATCGTTGTGACAGATGCAACGAGTACAATTGGAAACCTGGTGTTTGGATCATGGGCCTTGACCCAGGATGGAGATGCTTACGACCTGGGGAATATTTAGGGACTCGTGCGCACAGCAAATGCTCTCCCTACTTCCACTGTTTCTACTACTATGATTATTACAACCTTGTATTCATTTCACTGTACACTTTTTACTCTTCTTCCATTTCAACCGAGTACCCTTTTTGTTCGCCTTCTCATTGCCCCCCCCCTCTCTCTACCACTCGTTTCATGGTTCTGTCTTGGACAAACGTATATATGTCAGTTTTGATAGGCTCTTGTCACGATAGGAAGTGTGACGGAAGGACGGTGGCTTTTGTATTCATTTCCCGGTCCCTGCAAGTCGCTCTTCCTGTCTATGTTTCCGATGTTGCATGTTTTGGCAGGCGTCTAGGGGCTGAATTGGTCTGGTTCACGGTATGGGACTCATTCCCCCCTTACCGTCTTCTTTGTCTTGGATCTTTTGAATCATTCCCTTGTATGTACTTTTATAGCAAAATAGGGCGAACCGGGGCGATCCCAAACATAATGCAAAAATACAACGGCGATTGCTGTACGACACAGGCGATTCTCTGTCTTTTGTGACCCGGAGCTCCGTTGCTTTCCATGGCCTGTTTCACCGGCGCTGCGTCCCTCCGAAGCCTGTACTAGGCTGTCGAGCCGACGATACTGATGAGGACGACGACGATGGTCCGGCACCTCCGCTTCCACCCCAAGTACTCCCACCTCGTCTCCCACCGCCGTACTGGTCCCCATAGTAGCCACTGCTGTTGTCCCTGTTGTTGCGGTTGTTCCTGGTACTGGCCAAGTAGGCCGCTGTCGCACCGGTCGCCGCACCTGTCCAAAAACCTGGCCGCCAGCCCTGTTGCTGCTGCTGGCCTCCCCACTGTTTTGTTCCTGGATACGGAGGTGGTGGATCGTTGTCCGGGCCGAAGCCAGGCCCGTCTCCACCTCCTCCACCACCGCCGCCGCCCCAGAATCCACCACCCGGCCGGTTGTTCCTATCTCCTCGATCCCGGGCGCCGTCGCCCATGAACATGGCCCAGAGGATCCACAACGCAATGGCCACAAAGATGCACCAAAACACCCAGTTGAACGTTTTGTCGGCGCCCCAGCTGGTCTTGCGCGCCTCACCGGCCAGGTCCGGGTACTGTCGCTCGCCAAAGTCCGTCAGCACCAGGCGATACTCGACGGCGCAGCTGCCCTTTAAGACGTACGGATCGTCGGCCGAGCTGTAGCCTTCGCAGACGACGTCGGTGCTGCCCAGCTTGAACTCGGGCGGCAGCGACGCCGTGCAGGACCACTGGATGTCCTCGGCATCGTAACCACTGCCCTGGTTGGTGCAGCGCATGGTATCGACCGTGAAGAGGTCGCAGAGGCGCTGGGGGTTGGCCGTGCAGCTGAGCTGCGGCACGGCGGCGACGCGGCGGTGGGTGGTCATTTTCCCGGCGCGCAGCGTCAACGATTGGACCTGTGTCTGTGTCAGGGCACGGTCCATGGTCCGACCACATAGATACATATACATCTCGATCGATTGGTGGAGAGGCGGTACTCACTTTGGACAGGAGAATGGCATTCTTGCTGTTCTTGGACGAGGCAGCGGCCGTCGACGACGGCAATGCAGCCAGGGCCGCAAGGGCCACGCACCATGGCGTCCACGCAGCCAGATGCATGTTGACTAGGTCGATTGGCGAGCCTGTACTCCGTAGCCTCGTTGTCGTGGTCTGTAGTGAGGCTGACAGAGGTGTGGATATTGTCGGAGCCTTGCGATAGGAAGAGGTAATTTGCTATTCGCCACCGACAGTCGTGGTGTCAATGCCAACACGTCAGTTGACTATCAATGGAAAATTGACTTTTGTTATTTTTCCTCGTTCTCAGATGTATACGATATTGGCCGTACTTAAGCCACAGTTTCAATGCGTTCAGTAACACTGAGGACAGCCTGGCTTGAGCCAGGCTTCGATCAGGCTGGCTTGTGGCTGTGACGTAAGAGCAGCCTAGGCGCTCTTTCCGCCACGAGGCTACGCAGCTGAACTGTTCGGACATCGGCCAACGTGGCAAGAACGAAGGAGGTTTTAGTTGGGTGGCGGTAGGATGGCAGTGGCTACCTGGTTGACGCCTTCCACCGTGCAAGTTGCGACTGGTCTTTCGGCATTGGTACACAGCAAAATGAAGGCCTTTTGTCTACATTTTTCTTCCACTCTCGTCAGCGACTCTCATCACTCGCTTGAACCTTGTTTCTTTGACTGAACGGCTTCCCAATTGGGATACATTGCGCGGATGGATCAGCGCTCAGGCCAGGCCAGGCTTCTTTGCGCGTTTCGTTTTCTCTCCCGCTTTGGTCAGTTGCTCCTTCCGCGGCATGTTTACGGTGACAACAGGCCCCTTTCGGTATCTCACGGTCAATCCTATGGGAGCTATTATGTCACTTTTCTACGGATAAAGAAGGAACGAAATAAGAGTATGTGAAGAGACAGAACATTCCGTCGTAAGGTACCCTGAAGAAGTTTTGAGAGCCGCCTCCTATTGGTCCTTTTAGGCCCGCTTTTCTCAGAATACGCTCCGTTCATTGGCTGTTTGGAGAGTGCGCAGATTGTTGCAGCCTGATTGGTCCGTCACTCTAGCGGCCTCCAGTTTTTCGACCATTTGAGCCCTCTCATTCGTCAGAATAGCTTTGCCCCACTGTTCTGTTGGTTTCTGACGTGAAATCGATTTGATTCGTTGGAGGGGGTTTTTATAGGTATGATTTTGTGGGTCCGATTTATCTTAACTTTCAAGCTTTAACTTTACCGTGACCGCATTCTCACCTTCTTTCGAAAATTATTATTAACTTCTATCTTTTGTCAACTGTTTTATTCTCTTAGTTATCTCCCTCTGATCCCCGGCAGCAGGTTGTAGTAGGTAGAATCAGCCCAGCGAGCCGATCGAAGTAATCGTGCGTCCGACGACGGAGCGGGAGGGTTATACTTTTTCACTTCGATTTTGTTCACTTCGATTTTGCCCTCACCTTATCGGTGCACCCGTATGTCCGACGAAGGAGGGCAGGAGGGCCATGCTTGTAAGAGTATGTGAAGAGAGAACATTCCGAGAAAAACAAATGTGCAAACGCACCGAGCGTAGACGAGATTCGGAGTACATTTCTGCTTGCCATCCCGAGTTGCAGGTGCGCTAACGCCGGCCATTTTGGACCCTGCCCGCTGGTTGGCAATTTTCTTTCATCGAAATCGCGTCTGCGGCTTGGGGCCCAAACGAGAGGAAGCTGGCAGGCAGTTTAAAACGCCACAGCGAACCGCTGGAATGTTTTCAGGAAAGTACGCCATACGTACTGGGCAATCCTCCGTACGCAGCCTGTTTTTAATATCCCCAGCTGTGAACTCCGTTCGACTCTACGGCAGTACTTTCACGTTTTCCCAGGCAACAGTCACAACGAGCCGCGCCTTCCCTTGCCAAGCCGTTTCGGCCGCGCCTTACTTTCCCATGTTTAATTGCACCCATACTCAGTATTACAATGCAGCAGCCGCGACCGGGTTTCGGTATCTACGCCCAATTGCGAACCGGGATTGAGAAAGAACTCAAGCACCGTGCTGACGGTTGTCAAACGTTCCTGCCTGTGCTTCGGAGCCTTGTCGCATCAGTTGCACTGGCACCAAAAAGGATGGGCAGTAATACTTGGAACCACACGACGTGCTACGGGATCTGCCCATGCCAATATATCGTCAATTCCAAAGTAAGACGATCCTCCTGCGCTGGGATCCGTACACGTACTCCCTTATGGAGTATGTCGTACGAAATACACACGGGCAGGCACAGGCTGCAACAATCCCAACCGCCCGCTTGCAGTTGCCCCCCAAATAACTTCGCGTGTGGCATTGTAGCTGCGGGACACAGCCTAGCCGAGATTGGTTCCGCAGGGCCTCCTACTTCGACTTGCGTCCAAGCTCGACGCGTGGGAAAGTGGCTTGCTTGATAAGTAAGATTTTGTCGGCCGACACAATACGCGGAAGACGCTGTTCGGTGGGCCGGGCCCACTCCCTCCTTCCTAGTCGGGGTGGATACTGCGAAAGCGAGAACGAAAATTCGCGGATAACTAGTACGACCAATCGTTTTTTCGTATGGGCGGGGGGAGGCATTGGCCCGATGTGTCAAAACGTCGCGAAAAAAAACCCCGACAAAGTAAATCGTACACCAACAGGCTGCCCAAACTGCGATTAGTCGGATTCCCCATGAGTCCGTGTCCCCGAGCAGCATGTGGAGAGAGAGGTACAGCCGTAGTCAGTCCTACGCCAAGTACCCTTTTCTTGGTGTTCGCATCACAAGGGTACCAAGACGGGAAGGTACTTATTTCCTTCCGAAAGAACCTGCAATAGGGTGTTCGGTCGGTTCCAGTAGGAAGAGAGAGGTAAGCGACTGGCGGGCGTAAAGATTTGCTTGGATGGCTCATCGACCGACAAAAACGCCAGTCTCTTGTGACAGCCGACCACCGGGCGAGGCGAGATATGAATCAAGATGAAGGCAAGTCCCCAGCGACGGAGAAGCGTGGAATGTCCGTACCCGCCAAGGGAAAACAAAAACAAAAGATAGAATGGAGTGCCTTACAAAGATAGACGGGGCATTCGCAAGAGTGCTGACACCGTGATTCCGACCTTTTCAACCGTCCTTCGTGACAAGCTGTGCCTTGCGAGGTATATCGTTCCCGCATCTCGATATCACCTCGCCAGCATCGCAGAGTAGCGTCAAGTAGGACTGTACTAGTCGGACAAGGCATGAAAAGGAACTGCCGTTGGTTCAATCAGTTCAAGCGTGCTGTTCCATGTGTCGTGTTTCTTGGTTCATTCCTTTTTTGGAGCGCTGCTTGGCCCGTTCCAACAAACAAACAGCAGGAGCGAACGGTTTGACCGTCTTGCCCACGTCGACTGTAGAATGTCCTGGGCGTAGCGGTGGACGGACACGGCAACTTTCCGTCCTGCCGTCGAATGCTGTTCATTGTTCATAATAGCAATGTACGGCGTGCCTACCTTCTTTGTCTCTTTGTCAAACCAAGCCAAAACGCAAAACCCATTCTCCCAGGCAGGCACCTCCCTGTGGAACCCCGTCCCGTCTTGATTCCAGGCAAGGAAAGAAGCTTCTGTCCGTTCGTTGCCTCTTGCCATTTTACGTTTCCAGTATTCGCCCCCAACGCCTTCCCTTTTAGCTATCGGCTGCATCCTGCACCACAAACCTTTTGTGCCGTTTTTCTAGCTGCTTTGTGGATTGCTTTCCTGTTCGCCCTCCCTCTACTCTCCCTTCTTCCCCTTTTCCTTTATTTTTGTTGTGATTCCTCATCCCCGAACCCCGACGGTTCTTATCTGTCGCCGGCTCCTCTTCGACTCTCTTGTCTTCGCTCTTCACTTCGCTCCTTTCACATCTATTTACGTTGCCTCGCTGTTTGTTTTGTTTGTGGCAGCTCTGTTTACTTTCTTGTCTTTCCTTTCCCACTTCTCCACCTCCACATTCTTCATCCCTTTTCTCACTCAGCGCCTCGACAACACAACCTCACCATCGCATACAGATCGGATCAACAGTTTATTGTGCGGAATTGACTCGACCCCGGACTACGACCGCCGTCCCCCACGGTCTCGCGAGCAAGCTCACGCTCCAACTTCAATCCCCCCCAAAAGACCTTACACTGCCTCAGCTGTTCTCCGTAGGAGAGCATCGAGCAGTAGCAAGGGGGGTGTTTTGACGAAAGCCAGGCTCTCTTTTATTGACCTTTTTACTTCTTTTTTCTGTACTTCTAATTTCGTTCATTTTGGCCCTCCGCAATGGCTGCCGACGACGTGTCTGACAAGGCACACGAGGCTGCAGCCAGCAGCGCCTCCGAGAAGGCCAACGATGCGCCTGCACCCGCAGGTGCACCGGCTTCCAAGGCCGCCTCGAGCCATGCCGACGACTCGTCTGACGAGAAGCGCGCTCCCGCCAAGGCGTCCGGCCAGGCAAGCCCTCTAGATCTCGAAAAAGCCGACTCCCGCGTCGTCAAAGTCCCGGATCCGGCCGAGAATGTCGACCTATACGCCCATCTGCCCGCCGACGAGGCCGCCATCCTCCGCCTCCAGGTTGACACCGCCACCGTCAAGGTCGGCTTCGGCACTCTCTACCGCTACTCCACCCGCGTGGACATTGCCATCCTGATCGTGTCTGCCATCTGCGCCATTGCCTCGGGTGCGGCGCTGCCCCTCATGACGGTCATCTTTGGCAACCTGCAGGGCAGCTTCCAGGGCTTCTTCAACGGCCAGGTCGGCCGGGAGGCCTTCATGAGCAAACTGTCCCATCTCGTGCTCTACTTCGTCTACCTGGCCATCGGCGAGTTCGTCACCACCTACATCTCCACCGTCGGCTTCATCTATACTGGCGAACACATCAGCGGCAAAATCCGCGAGCACTACCTCGACAGCTGCATGCGCCAGAACATTGGCTTCTTCGACAAACTCGGCGCTGGTGAGGTCACCACCCGCATCACCGCCGACACCAACTTGATCCAGGAGGGTATCTCCGAAAAGGTCGGCTTGACACTGTCTGCCATGGCCACCTTTGTCACAGCGTTCGTCATTGGTTTCGTGGAGTACTGGAAGATGACGCTGATCCTCGTGTCTACGCTCGTGGCTCTTGTTCTTGTCATGGGCGGTGGCTCGCGCTTCATTGTCAAGTACGGCAAGGAGTCCGTTAACGCCTATGCTGAGGGCGGCAGCGTCGCCGAGGAAGTCCTGAGCTCCATCCGCAATTGTGTCGCCTTTGGCACCCAGGATCGTCTTGCCAAGCAGTACGACGTCTACCTGACTCGTGCCGAGAAGGCAGGTTTCCGTGTCAAGGCCAGCTTGGGCATGCTCATTGCCGGCATGATGCTGGTTCTGTACCTCAACTACGGCCTGGCCTTCTACGTCGGCTCCAACTTCTTGCTCGACGGCACCATTCCCCTGTCCAAGGTCCTGATCATCATGATGGCTGTTATGATCGGTGCCTTCAACCTTGGCAACGTCGCGCCCAACCTGCAGGCTTTCACCACAGGCCTGGCTGCTGCCGCCAAGATCTACAACACAATCGACCGCATCTCGTGCCTGGATCCCTCGTCCGACGAGGGCGACAAGATTGAAAACCTTCAGGGCACAATTCGCTTGGACCACGTCAAGCACATTTATCCGTCACGTCCCGAGGTCGTTGTCATGGAGGACATCTCGCTCGTTATTCCTGCTGGCAAGACCACCGCCCTCGTCGGTGCTTCTGGCTCAGGCAAGTCGACCATTGTTGGCCTGGTTGAGCGTTTCTACAACCCTGTGCAGGGTACTGTATACCTCGACGACCACGACATCAGCAAACTGAACCTTCGCTGGCTGCGCCAGAACATTGCTCTAGTGCAGCAAGAACCCGTTCTGTTCGGCACCACGATTTTCAACAACATCGCCCACGGTCTGATTGGCAGCAAGCATGAGCACGTCAGCGACGACGAGAAACGTGAGCTCATCATTGGCGCCGCCAAGAAGGCCAATGCCCACGACTTTGTCACAGCCCTGCCAGAGGGATACGAGACAAACGTCGGCGAGCGCGGTTTCCTGCTCTCTGGTGGCCAGAAACAGCGTATTGCCATTGCCCGTGCTATCGTCTCAGATCCCAAGATCTTGCTGCTGGATGAGGCCACCTCTGCTCTCGATACCCGCTCTGAAGGCGTCGTCCAGGCGGCCCTGGACGTCGCCTCCGAGGGCCGTACCACCATCACCATTGCCCATCGTCTCAGCACCATCAAGGATGCTCACAACATTGTCGTCATGTCCCAAGGCCGCATCGTCGAGCAGGGTACGCACAACGAGCTGATTGAAGCTCGCGGTGCGTACTTCAACCTAGTCAGCGCGCAGAGCATTGAGGTCGTCAACGACGTCAAGTCTGAGGAGGACGAAGCCATCGACGCCGAGATGGATGCCCACCTTATCCGCACGATCTCGTCTGCCAACAAGGACGGTGCTGCCAATGCCTCTGCGTCCGCTTCTGGTGCCGCGGCTGACGCTTCGTCTGGCAAAGATGTCGAGGCTGGCTACCTGGCCGACCCTGATGACAACATCAAGGAAAAGTTACAGCGCTCGAGCACCCGCAAGTCCGTTTCCAGCATTGCCGCCCAGGCGCGCAAGTCTGAGGAGGCGCAGACCAAATATGGACTCGGTACTCTCATCAAGCTGATTTCCTCGTTTAACAAACAGGAGTGGAAGCTCATGCTCCTTGCCCTGTTATTCTCCATCATTTGCGGTGGCGGCAATCCAACCCAAGCCGTCTTCTTCGCCAAGGAAATCAGTACGCTCTCTGTCATCATCACGCCCGCCAACCGGGACCAGGTGGGCCACGATGCCCGCTTCTGGTGTCTCATGTTCCTGATGCTTGCCATTGTCATCTTTATCGCCTACAGTGTGCAAGGTATCATCTTCGCCCGGTGCTCCGAGAGACTGGTTCACCGCGCCCGCGACCGTGCCTTCCGCACCATGCTTCGCCAGGACATTGCCTTCTTTGACAAGGACGAGAACACCTCGGGTGCTTTGACATCGTTCCTGTCTACCGAGGTCACGCACGTTGCTGGTCTCAGCGGCGCCACACTCGGCACCATTCTTTCGGTGACGACCACGCTGGTTGCCGCCCTGACTGTATCCATCATTATTGGATGGAAGCTTGCGCTCGTCTGTACCGCCACCATTCCCCTGCTGCTCGGATGCGGTTTCTTCCGCTTCTGGATGCTTGCCCACTACCGCGAGCGTGCCAAGAAGGCCTACGAGGGCTCGGCCAGCTATGCCTCCGAGGCCATAACGGCCATCCGCACCGTCGCCTCCCTGACCCGCGAGGAGGATGTCCTCTTCCACTACCGCGAGACCCTGGCTGATCAGCTGAAGTCGTCGACCCGCTCGATTCTCAAATCGTCGTCGCTGTATGCGGCATCGCAGTCTTTGACTTTCCTGGTTCTTGCCCTCGGTTTCTGGTATGGCGGCAAGTTGCTCTCCGAAGGCGAGTACACTATGTTCAGCTTCTTCCTCGTTTTCCAGTCTGTCATATTCGGCGCCCAGTCTGCCGGTACGATCTTTTCCTTCGCCCCCGACATGGGCAAGGCAAAGCATGCCAGTGCCGAACTTTTGAAACTGTTCGACAACAAGGTTGTCATTGACTCGTGGTCTGAGTCGGGTGCACCCGTCACGTCCCATGAGCACATTGAGTTCCGTGACGTCCATTTCCGCTATCCGACTCGCCTGGAGCAGCCCGTTCTGCGCGGCCTGGACCTGAGCATAGAACCTGGCCAATACATTGCCCTGGTCGGTGCCTCTGGTTGCGGAAAGTCCACCACGATTGCACTGCTAGAGCGTTTCTACGACCCGCTTGCCGGCGGCATCTACCTCGACGGCAAGGAGATCAGCACCCTGAACGTCAACGAGTACCGCAAGGGTATTGCGCTGGTGTCACAGGAGCCGACTCTGTACATGGGTACCATCAAGGAGAACATCCTGCTCGGTGCCATTGACGATAAGCAAGTGTCGGATGCCGACGTCGAGTTTGCGTGCCGCGAAGCCAACATTTATGACTTTATCATGAGCTTGCCGGACGGGTTCAACACCCTGGTCGGTAGCAAGGGTACGCTGTTGAGTGGTGGTCAGAAGCAGCGCATCGCTATTGCGCGTGCCCTGATCCGTGATCCCAAGATCCTGTATGTCCACACGCGTCCGTCTCCTCCTTACTCCATTTTATCTTCTATACTTCCTTGAACAAGTTGCTGACACCTCTGTAGTCTCCTCGACGAAGCCACATCCGCACTCGACAGCGAGAGTGAAAAGGTGGTGCAGGCTGCTCTGGACAAGGCCGCCAAGGGCCGCACGACCATTGCCGTCGCCCATCGTCTGTCTACAATCCAGAAGGCCGACATCATCTACGTGTTCGATCAGGGCCGCATTGTCGAGAAGGGCACCCACACCGAGCTGATGCACCGCAACGGTCGGTACGCCGAGCTCGTCAACCTCCAAAGCCTAAGCAAGAACCACTGATCTGGCTATCTTGCTTTCCTCACCTTATCTGTCTCTCGTCCCCGTTCTTTCACTTTCACTTTTCTCTTTCCTCGTTTTCTCTCTATCTCTCTCTCTCCTCCTATCTAGCCCTCCTTATCTTTTATTTATCTTTACTCTTTGCATCTCATTTCTGGCCACATATCTACCGCACTCACATCCGAGCTGCGCGTCGTTGTTTTGCTTTTTTTAGACGGCCTTCGGCGTTTTCTTTCACTTTCTTCTCCTATCGGTATATTCTTAGTCGCAAAAAGTCTTCGGTCTTATTTTCCTATATGCCACGTTTTGGCTTTTCTTCCTAAAGGGATTTCTATGTGGTTTCTATATAATTTGTTAAGGCTTGCAAAGTCTTCACTTGGAAGAATAAATAATATTACCAAGCCCCTCTACTCTTTTTAATTAAGACAAAAAAGTCGCGTAGACAGACCTGAGTGTGGGAAGTTATCGCAAAATAAGATCCGGTGCCGACTCCGCCAATGGTGTGAGTACCGTAATGTTTATTAAAAAATATTAAATCATCAGTATCCCTCGACCTTCCCTATCTTACAGTCTATGCCGTTCAGACATCATTCGACACACAACGTCGACCATAACAAAGGAAAGAAAGAGAAACAAAAAACATAAGCCTCCGTTACAAGAACATAGATATTCAAACTTGGCCCCCCGCCTTGTGTTCTAGAATCAACCATAAACCAATGACGCCAACATTAAGTAAGTTAAGAAAACAATAAACCAGAAAGGAAACCATGGATGCCGACATCGTCGCGTAACCTGGCATGCAGCCATCTAGAATGGGATATCTCAAGATGTCGTGTTGGAGAAATGAGGGCGAGAACCGTCCGGGATATAAATGCATAAATCAACATTGTAGGGGAAAAAAACACGCGATAAGTGTAAGTAAGTATACGGGTGCAGGCGTGCTTATCTTTAGCGTCGTAAATAAGTTCAGAGAAGCATGACCGTTGAGCGTCATGATCGGGTATCGTAGCTTCTGCTGGAATGCCGCACTCCCGTTGTTACAACGGCCGGGGTTGCCGTCTCAATGAGACCCTAAGTTTTCTGCAGCTTGCGAGTCTTGTTCAGGGGGCGGCGTTTTCGGCCGGTCGGGCAACGCATCGTCTGATTTCAGGCCGGTGGGCGAAGTTTCGTGCTTCAGAGGCGCCAGTTTCCGATCCTCTGCCGGCTTCAAGTATCCGCTTGGTGGTATAGGCTAAACCACTGTTAAACCATGCTTCTCGCCCTAGATTAACAGGAAGTGGTACTTACACTTGCTTCCGCGGTCACTTCAACGGCCGGACTGTGGATCCGAGCTGACCGTATTTGCGGGGGGAAGTTGACTGGTTGTCCATAATTGTTCATCGTGGCTGGCTGGCCTGCCGGCGGTGTGTTTATCGATGGAGATTTGCCTGCGGGTGCCAAGAATGGGAAGGGATTGTTTGTCAACCCGGCAGCCTGAGCCTGGGCAATCTTATCTGCCCTTGATGGTCTGCCCCTTTTCTTACGTAGGGTTTGAGTTGGGGGCGCAATCGCGCCAGGCGTCTGTCTCTCGGAGGAGGCGCCATTAGCTGGTGGCGGTCGTGGCTGGATACTGCGAGCACGCGACGGGCCATTTATATCGGTAGGAGAAACTGCCTGCCTCTTCGGGACATTCTCGCTCGAGGCACTGGACGATTTGCGCTTCGCGACCGGGGCTGGAACCTGGAAAGGCGACTGTTGCTGGAGCTGGCGTCGTTGATGCTGCTGCTGTTGCTGGTGCTGGAGGTTCTGGAGATGCTGCGGCTGCTGGGGAGCTCGATGCTGTTGATGCTGCTGGGCTACAGTCGAGTTTTGCTGCTCGGATTGTTGGCGGTGTTGTTGAGAGTATTGTGGCCCCGGTTGCTGGAGTTGTTGTTGATGGTGCTGTTGTGTAAACATCGGTGGCGTTTCGATGCCCATGGAGGCTGCGGCTTGCCTACACTGGTTTATAGTGCGACCTAGACAACAATAAGTGTAAGTAACGGCCTTTATCTGCTTTGCCAACCTCTCCCCTCCCACGGGTATGGAACGCGAAGGTAATGAAGTGGAAAGCCTATGCTTGCGCACCATGCGGTATCTGCATCTCATGCCAGTCGGGCGAGATATTGAAGTGCTTGACGAAGCTGATCACGGCACTGACATCAAGGTGGCTGGCCTTGACCATCTCTGCAAGAATGAACCGCTGTCGGTCGTGTTAGCGAAGCGTTTTACCACGAAGTTTGCGAATGCGTCATCTATGCTAACCTTTTCCCGATCGTCAAATGATGTGTCCATTTTTCAAAAGCAGGGCCTTCTGGCACCGGCTCTGGCGTCATACCAGGATGGGGGAGTCGTGTCAGACGGGAGAAGGGAACGGGGCAGGGAGGTTAGTGGAACGGCATTTGAAATGCGGCTGTGGAGGCAATCACAATAATGCGACGTTTCCTGTGGCTCGGTCGTCGATGAAAAGAAGTAAACAGATCTTTACAACCATGCAAAGAAACAGATCGTGAAAGAGTGAAAAGCTTGCCGGGAGCAAGACTCACGATGAGCCTATGTAGAGGTAAGAGGCCCAGTATGTCTCCAAACAACACGCGAAAGGAGATTTTCCAAACCAGGGAAGGCCTTTTGAAAACAGAAATTATATTTGCAATGAAAAAGGAGCGACGAAAAAGAGTTCCCTTCGAATATAACGTTAGGCACTTGGGAAACGGTCCCGAATATTGTAGCGGCTCTGAGGCCAGGAAAAGCAACGGCTGAAAAAAGTGGGAGGTGAGAGTGAAATGAAAGCGACAATCGTTAAAGTGAGTAGAGTGACTCTGGTGACTTCTTCCTCTGGGGGTTGTAATAATATAAAAAACGCGGCGGGGGCGGCGTTGCCTGACGTTGGCGGAGGAAGAATCAATCAGCAGAAGGCCACGGAGGACAAGACGAGGGGTGCCAGCCTGTTGTTAAGATATTCCTGGTGTCCGAGGTCGACGGAAGACGCGCAAAAGACCAAAACTGGAGCAAGCGCGCGTCTTTTGCGGGAACTAGATTGGCTTCGGAAAGGGTATAGTCAACACGAAAACACCAGCGTGGACCAGGGGACCCTACGAGAATAGAGAAAGGAGACGGTAACGAGAAATGCCGTAAGGTAGGACAAAGGAAGCAGGACACAGATCTCCTTCGCGGCTGACCGTGTTCGATCTGTTTTTTATTATGTCTCTTTTTTTCCGGGAGGTGACGATTTTGAAGCCCACCTGCTTGACTGGGTGTTACCAGGGGGTGTGTCCTCTCGATAAAGAAGAGCTGCTGTTGGCGAGGGTCCAGACAAGGCCAGTGAGAGACATGAGAGACGGAGACGAGGTGGAGCGCTGTTTGAAATCGACAGCGGATATAGCTGGCAAGCAAGGACAAGGGTTGGTGCGTGGAAGGAGGGGGCAGAGAGTGAAGAGGTTGGAGGGGGCAGAGAGTGAAGAGGTTGGAGGGGACAGAAGCGAGTGTGTGAGCAAGAGAAATAGAATACACGAAAGAGTGGAAACAACGCGATACCACAAAAGTGGTGGAGTAATACAGGAGAGACAGAAATGGTCACCAAACAAAATATGGTGACGGAGGCAAGCGAGGGCACGCACACGCTACAAGAAAACAAATCACAAAGAGGCGAGTCGAAGTAGGTGGCTCAAGGACAAGGAAACAAACGACGAAACAAAACGGAGAAAAGGTCAGCAGTGCCTGACCAGTCAAGGTGAAGTACCCCGAATGGGGGAGAAAGGGTCGTAACAGTCGGTAGTATCGTGTCGGTGCCAGTCAGGGGTCTGGGTGTCGAGCCGGGAAGAAATGATGAGATCTGGGGGGGCTGAAGGAGGCCAGATAAGACACGCGAAAGCGCGACAGATGAACGCTGCAAAGTCGAAGGAGAAGGCGAAGTGAGGTTGATGATGGCAAAACCCGAAATAAACAAGGGGTAAAGGGACAGGAGCGAGATGTGCGAAGTGGTCAGATAGAGGGTAAGAGCGAGCAAGACACCGTCGCGGCAGGAGAGGAAAGAAGAGAACCGGCGATCGTTTAGCAGTGTGGCCTGGCTGTGGCTCCTTCTCTCTGCTCTTCCCTTCTCTTGCCCTTTTGGGAGTCCAGCGCAGGGCAAGCAGGCACGTTTTTGTGCAAGAGCGATGGTGCGAGGCAGAATGTTGGCAGGTGACCGACAGGTGACCGGTTGGATGGCAACTCGCAGGCCTTCAACGGGGAAAGAAGATATTACTTGCGACAACGAATCAAGAAGAGAGAGGGAGAGTGAAAATAAAATATGACAGAAACAAGTATATGTAGAAACAAGAAGACGCAAGTCATGCAAGGCAGCGAGTGTGAGAGTCCAGATCTGGGGTCACAAAACAGGAAGGGACGGCTGACTGCAGACAAACGCAAAGATCAAGAAGCCCCTTTGGCCGGGAGCCAATCCCTGGTCAATGTGATTACCCCACAAGGAAAGAACAAACATAAATGTTCCGCAAGGCAAAGGGCAAGTGCGCGGTTGCCATCCAACATTTGTGCTCCATCTGTGCAGTCTGCTGTCAGGGAACGAGGAAAGAGCCATTTGCACCCCTCCCTCCTGCCGTTTTTGCGACCACTTTCTGCGGCCACACGAGGTTGGCCGTGCTAGGCCCTTTTCCATTCAGGGCCCCATCCTTCCTTCTGCAACAGCCACTCTTCTCCTTCAACCGCATCGACCCGCGATACCAGTCGTCTTCCACGGCCTACTGTGTACACAACAGCGGCCTCTGCGCCTTTGGCTGGCGAGCGAGATAACCGCGGCGGGAACAGGGAACAGGAACTGGCGGTGGCGATATGCGACAACACGTCGCGCTGCTGTGCCTCTGCCTCTGTTCTTTGTCTCTCTTGTCGGAATTGCGATTACACCGACAACTTCCTTTTGCGTTGTCTCATCCTCGGAACCCCTTCAGATCAAGAGACCGATTTGTCTCTCTCCAGCGGCCTGTTCTTCCTCTCTTTTATCAAGTGTGCTGCCTCATCTTTCGCACGTCTGTTTCTTGCTCCCCTGTGTCTTCAACAAGCGGGCCCTGATCCTGCTCTGAGCAAATTGGATCGCCTTCCGAGCGGGCGCCAATATTTACTCCTCCAGCCTAACAAATGCGGGAGCCAACAAGAAGGGATCAGCCGGGCGTCACTCGACATCTAGCACGACGACAACAGTGGGCCCTTCTTTTCCTGTCATATCGTCGATTTCCGCTCATCTGCCTGCTTTCTGCGCGCGCTCGGCGCATGCGCAAGGCAGTGACTGTGGAGAACGTCACAGTCGGCCTGTTCTTTCTTCCTGCAACTGCTATTGTCTCTCTGTTTCTCTCTTTCTCTCTCTGTCTCCCAAGTCGCAGTCTCCCAAAAGTGTACTTTTTGTGCTGTTTTCGCTCTCATGCACTTGCATCTCTGCATCGCCTGTCCGCAATCTGTCGCTTGCAGCCCAGCCAGCTGCTGCTGAAAATAAGTGGTCTGCTGGACGCACCCTCTTATACAACCTGCATGCAGGAGCAGGTGTATGCATGCTGCACGATGCTGCAGCCAGCCAATGGGGGCCGTCCGACTAAAACCGCCTGACACCCCCATAAATGTCCACTTCGCAGAGCATTGTCGAGTCCAGTCAACCTTTTTGTGTCTGTCCGGTTTGGTCATTGTTTTGCGCCGTTCGTGGGCTACAAGTCTTGGATTCTTTCTTTTTCTGGATCCCCTTTCGGCCAACTGCCCACCCCCCACCCCCCCCCCCCCCCAATTTCTCAGCCACTTCTTCTGCTGTGATGTTGATGGCATCAGACGGAGGCCTTCAAGCGTGTGACAGAAAGGGAAGTGCGAAGCAGGAAGAGGCAAAAAAAAAAATGAGAAGAAACAGAAGAAGAAAAACGACTGCGCTGACAACTGGGCACGGGGCAATCGATACACCAGCAGTGGCTGGTCTTTCCAGAAAAAACAACAGAGCGGCCTCCAGTTAAGGTCCTTCTTGTCCCATTTTTCTGTTTTCTTTTTTCTTCTTGTTTCTCTCAGCCTTTCCGGCCTGGTCATGGTCAGCGCTTGCGTGACACAAAGACAATTCAACCGTCATCGACCGTCCAGACTCCGGACTCAGCTGTCGCCCTGGGCATCTAGTGTTCCCTCACTGGACGCCATGCCCGGACGTAGGGTAGAAGGCGAGATGTCGTTTCTGCCCTGTTCTTATTTTTCCCACTACGGGACTGCCCGGGAGTCTAACGTTAACTCGGCGTGCAACATGGATGACAGAAGATGAAAGGGCTGAACGAGCGCACGAAAAAGTGGGACAGGAGGCCAAAGTCGGTGGCCGAGACCCAGGGTAAGATGATCTGTGAGGTGTGAATGGCTCGTTAGGTGGACGGCGTCTGCCAATAACAAGTCAGAAGCAGCTTCCGAACAGTCACCGTCTCGGTAATTACCTCCTAGGCGTGGGTAAGGGATGAAAAGAACACAAAAGAACACAAAAGCACACGCCAACAGTTCTTCCGTGTTGCTGTGGCTCAGTTTGACGAAGTGAGAGTCGTATCGAGGTCGAGTAGGCCGGTCCATTGAACGGATTCGAAGTATCGCCAGGTGGGCCGTCCCGGGACGGACTCGAAAAACGGAGATGTGAAGAAAGGCGTTTGATTTTGGTCCCAATGTGGGCGACATCAAAAGGCTTCGTCGATTTATACTTCTTATGCCACCCTGCGTTTTACTTACTTCTCCCCCTTGAGCTACGTTGCTCTTTACATCATTGCCCTGCCCGCATGCCTTCGTCTGGGCTCTTCTCCACATAATATCTGCATGATGCGTTGGCAAGACGGCACTTGCCTCGTTCTAACAGCAGCAGCTAACAAATCGCAGGATCCGACAGGCTGGCGCACCACTCACCGGCTGCCTGTTTTATTGTCCCAAGAGCTGACACAATTTACCCAGTTTTGCATGCAGTTATGCGTTGTGGTTCCCCGGGCTGTGCACCATTGCTTCCACGTCTACGTTGTCCCACGGTCTGCCCTGCGAGTGCTTAGAGACGGGGCCCATCTTCTGCCTCTTGCATCAGCGTCCTCGTCGATTGGGTCCGACCCGTCGAATCAAGCTTCAACGCCTCGTCTTGCAAATAGATTACAATGTTCCTCTCCTTGCCAAACTGTGGATGCTCGGCCCAGACAAGAGATCGAACACGGATTTGAGAGTCAAGAATTGTGCAATGCAACACCCAATTTGACTGCTTGGCTGGCTTTCCCGATTTATACGCACGACTTGGTCATACTCCGCTATGTGAGATTTTACTCGACTCGACCTGAACGTGGTTTCGAGAGCGATTTCCAAACGGCAGGCCGTGGGGCAAAGGGCGGTCTGGCCATCGAGTGCACCGTCTAACTCCGGATGGGATCCTGCACCAGATTGCTGGTAAACTTGGAAAAGCTTGGGGAAAAGCCTCCCACCAACTTAAGGTCTGTAAGCTCGAGCAGACACCAGGCTCGCCACGTGGAATTCACCGGGAACTTTCTAGCTGGACGAACCGGTTGACAAGTCACTCACAAGGCTGTCACAGATCGTCGACAAGGCAAACGACTGGCGCAATGAAATCGTTCGCACTTTGACAGCACCGCCCAAGATATTGGATCAGACGAAAGTGGGGCAAGGCCCCAGCTCTTAGTCCAGCAAAGACGAATATAAACTATGGCAAAGTGACCTTGTTACAAATACCATGAGAAAAAATGGTAAATAGCAGATCACCGCGATGGTGTCACTGGACCAAATGAATTGTTTTAAGCAGCACATCACCGGGTCACAGTTGTGTCAAATCGACACCACCGAAGAATGCATTTATTGGCAGAAGTACTTTGCAAGCAAGAGCGAGCAGGAAGAACCATTGCGGCTACAAATCGCGCCTTCCGCATATGCCATGTGGATTCCATGGTGGACGATGGGACCAAAGAGAGACAATCCCACTGGCAACAGGAAACTACGGGCGGAAGGCACGCCTGCCGGCAGTCGCAATTACTGCTAATCCGACAAAGAGTGTGCGCTAGAACCTATGGTAGTACAATGCCCACAGTGGGCGGTCGCGCCTGCTGACAGTTGATAAATGCGCAACGGCCTACGCCCACGCGTTTAGTTAGGAGAAGAGCGGCATGCACATAGGTGATGCCATGCGAGGAAAGCGCGAAGGGCCCCTGAATGCAAACTAAAAAAAAAAATGGAAAGGGCGACAGAGTGAGATAACAAAAAGGAAGAGAAAAGGAATAGAGCTGGGGAAGGAGCAACGAACACTCGAGCGTAGAGATGTTGCTACTTCGTGTCCGCCACTTTCAATCACCGTTTTCCCTCTCTATCTTCTCCCTCAGGCATAACAAAACATCTTCTGCAGCATTGGCTACCCCGTACGGAGATACAATAGGCTTCTCCACCCTGCAAAATAGAGGACATTTTCCCGGGTGAAATTTTACTAACGCCGTCGCGCGTTAGAGCAGCACGCCTGTCCTCGCCCGCACGCAACGTCGAAGCGGCCCCTTCACTCCAGATCCACGCCTGCACATCCGGTTTTGCACCGCGTCAGCCAGACTTGTCGTCTTTTCCTTTGCGTTGCCGACCACCGACCATCTCTGGCCTCTGTCACGGCTTCGCTGCCATTTGTCCAAATCGCCACCGCGCTCGACGGCACCACACGACACGAGTAGGAAACTCGACCCTCGAGGCCAACCCGCCAACCGTTGCCCGTCTGGCCTCCATTGCCACTTGGCACGGCGTTGGACGAAGACAAATCGGGGCCATTCGACAAGCGGGCGGTCCTTGATCCCATGCTAGGCCGCCGTTCTGTAACAAGAACCCCTGACATCACTGTCGGCTTAGCCTGTCGCTTCGACCTACAAAGAACCGCGTTGCGCGTGAGAGCAGTCTGAGATCGAAGTGTAGCCCCAAATCTACACCGCACGGAGGCGGGCTCCTGAAGACAAACACCGACATTGGCGACTGCGACGGCGGTGCCACCGATACCACAAACGAAGCAGATGGACGACGATGTGCGGATACCACACGCCTCACGCGGACCTGCTGCGAACATGACGACCACCGGCGCAAGGACGAATGGCACGCGAGCCCAGAATGGCGTACGAGTGGCCGTGAAGAGCGAGGCCAGCCCTTTCCAGGGATCCGCCACGCCCAACGGATCAAAAGGAGAATCGGTCTCGCGCAGCCGGTCGCCCGACGACGATGTAAAGCCATCACCTAGCGACGTCTCAACTCCAGACACGAGCGCCGCCGCATCCCGGCCAAACCGAAAGTCGTCGGCCAAGGCGTCACGGTCTGCGACGCCGTCTTCAAGGCCGAACCGGCTGCTCTTCGACCAGCTTCCCGACGCCACAGCCGAGGCCACCAGCAAGTTTCAAGTCATTGAGGACTGCCTGTACGGCTCAAAGAACATGGGCTCCTCAGACAACGATGCTTTTGACTGCGACTGTGCCGAGGAACTGCGTACGTGTCTTCTCCGACAGCCAGTTATTGTCCGTTGATTGGCTGCTAACGTGATTTTTGTAGACGATGGGCGCAACATGTCCTGCGGCGAGGACAGCGACTGCATCAACCGCGCGACCAAGATGGAGTGTGTAGAAGGTGGCTGCAACTGCGGCGACCACTGCCAAAACCAGAGATTCCAGCAGAGGCAATATGCAAGCGTGTCTGTCATCAAGACCGAAAAGAAGGGCTTTGGCCTCCGCACCGACGCGGACCTGCACCAAAACGAGTTCATCTTCGAGTATATCGGCGAAGTCATCAACGAGCCCACCTTTCGCCGGCGAATGATTCAATATGACGAGGAAGGCATCAAGCACTTTTACTTTATGTCCCTCACAAAGAGCGAGTTTGTCGATGCCACGCGCAAAGGCAACCTGGGTCGCTTCTGCAACCACTCGTGCAACCCCAACTGCTACGTTGATAAGTGGGTGGTCGGCAACAAGCTGCGCATGGGCATTTTTGCTGGCCGATCGATCCGGGCGGGCGAGGAGCTCGTGTTCGACTACAACGTCGACCGCTACGGCGCCGACCCCCAGCCATGTTACTGTGGCGAGCCCAACTGTACCGGCTTCATCGGCGGCAAGACCCAGACCGAGCGGGCGACCAAGCTCTCCTTGGCGACCATCGAGGCCCTCGGCATCGACGACCCGGATAGCTGGGACACGACCGTGGCCAAGAAGCAGCGACGCAAGAAGCCCAACGAGGACGACGAGGAGTACGTCAGCAGCCTGCAGCAGTCGGGTCTGGCGGAGGACGGCGTCACCAAAGTCATGGCTGCGCTCATGCAGTGCAAGGAGAAGTGGATTGCTGTCAAGCTTCTGGCGCGCATCCAGGCTGCTCGCGACGACGAGCGTGTCCTCCACCGTGTGGTCCGCATGCACGGCTACCAGATCCTCTGTTCGATCCTGACTCTGTTCAAGGACGACAATAATGTCGTCCTGCAGGTACTCGACATCCTGTACATGTTCCCACGCTTGACCAAGAACAAGATCTCCGACTCCAACATCGAGCTGGCCATCAGGGACCTGTCGACGTCGGATCATGAAGACGTGGCTGCCGAGTCGAAGCGCCTCCTGGAGGAGTGGGACAAGCTGCAGACTGCCTACCGCATCCCGCGCAAGAAGTTCGACCCGAATGCGCCGGTCAGTGCGTTCGAAGACCGCCGTGGCCGTGATGTGCAGAACAACGAAAGCGCAGACGACACAAACACCCCCCGCCCGCGGCCCATCTCCCCACTGCACGGCATGAACATCCCCAAGGGCCCACGGAGCAACATCCCGCAGCGGAACAGCAACTTTTTCATCAACGGCAACAGCCATAGCAACAACGGGACGCCACGGAACCAGCGGAAGCCGATAAACAACAACCAGACTGCCACACAGAACCTGCCGACTGGCTGGTTTAGTGCGACAGACCCCAAGGGCAACGTGTACTACTACAACAAGAGCGGTGCAACTACATGGAAGCGGCCCACGGCGCCTACTGAAATTGTAAAGGGCCTGACTAAAGCTCAGCAGGAGATAGACGCTGTGCAGGATATTATCGACCGCCTTACAAAGCAAGCGCCACGGCCATCCATCACTCACACCCCGCAAGCGGCCAAAACACCCGTCCAGGAGCCGAAAAGCGAACGGTGGCGGTCACTGCCCATTGAAAAGCAGCAGAAAATCTACGAAAATACTGTATGCGCCCAGCTACCCCTTGCCATATTTCTTATTTCTTTGCTACACGAATTGTCGTGCAGAGCTAATTTTGTCTGCATAGCTTCATCCCCATATCAAATCTGTCACCGATCGGTACCGCAACCGACTACCCAGAGAAGAGATCAAAAGGCTTGGCAAAGATATCAGCAAAAAGATTGTTGCCTCGGACTACAAGAACAATCGTGTGGATGACCCCAACACCATTTCGCTGGCACTGGCCAAAAAAATGAAGGTGCACGTTCACGATTACTTTGAGCGGGCCGTCAAAAAGTACGAGGAGCACGAAAAGAAAAAGGCTGGTAAGGCCGACCGCCAAGACGATGGCGGCGGAAAGCAAGCGGCGGCCGCTGTGTTTTCTGCGTCTGGCGATGCAGCCACGGGCAGCAAAAACACGGAGATGACGGCTGTGACAGACTCATCCTCTGCCGCGGCAGCTGGCAGCGAGAACCAGAACAAGGACGAGGATCTCGCCGCTCTCGACGATATGGTGCTGAGCGACGATGACGGGGCCAAGCCAGCCACAGATGATGCGACGACGACGCTTTCTCCCGAGACATCCGACCGGAAACGCAAACGGGCCGACAGCGGCTTTGTTGGTGATACAGGCACTAGACGAGAAAACGGTGCTCCTATTGGAGCATCACCCAACGGCACGCCATCCGAGACGCCGTCCATCAAGAGGCTCAAAGACGAAGAGGCCAACGCTGGTACCCTGACACCACCCACGCCGCCACCGCCGCCACCTCCACCCGCCGAAGAGGATGACGGGCAACTTGCAGCAGCTCGGCGGCAGCGGGAAGAGGAAGAAGAGGCACTGCGGCGTGAGAACGAGGACGCCATGCGCGACTTTGAAGAGCAGACAAAACAAAACGGCCCTGCCGGACAAGTATCACCGGTTGCCGTGAGTGGCGCAGGCGGACAGTAAAAGCCGCGAAACTGTTCATGTGCTGCAGCAACAAAACGGGGATGACGAGCATATATTTCACCCCTTGGCTTTTCGGCCCTAATTCATCGTATTTATGTCATTATTTGCCTGGGTTTTATTGTTTTAGTACTTTTATTCTCTCTTTTCTTTCCTTTGGTTAATACGTTCTCCTTCTCGTATCGTTGTCCACGCTTCTTTTTTCAACATTTTCAAAAAGGTGGGATGGTTTCTAGGTGGAGTAAAAAGCTGTATTCGCGGTCAATGTTCTCTTTTAATTCCCCTGTTTCAACAGTTTTGTATCATCGGGGTGACTGTGCATGTCTTCTGGGTTTCCTGCGTCTCCTTTGGCGTTATTTCTATTTATTATATCTACCTCTTCCATATACTGGGTACTCTATTCATGTATGATTTTTTTTTATTTTTCGAATATCAGCATTGGCAACAATGCATGAGCTCACTTACTAACGAGACCGGTCGGCTGATCAGTTAAGATTTGAGCACCTTTATTTTTTTATTAAGTAAAAAATAGAGCAAAATTAAAATAAACCACAGCGCAATTCATAAAATACACCTTCAAGAGTATGGAGTAATTCATGTGACAATTTCGATCGACTTGAATTATTATGAGGCAGAAAGCACTGCAACGATAAAACAACTAATGATGAAAACCGTAAAACATCATCCCACTTGTCCTGCCCACTCTTTGTTTCGTTTCCCGTGATATGGTTCTACCTCGGTGACCACGTATTTTCTGTCGTTTGTTTCATTTCCTTTGTTTATTTTGTTCTTGCATCGACTTGCGACACGGCTCCATTACAGCGACTTGACGATCTTCTCGAGGGCATCGATCAGGATATCGGCGTGTTTCTC